AAACCATGTTTAAGTAAATATAATATACTATGTGCATTTTGGTGGTAAGTTCCCCAGATGACACTTTGAAGAACTGTGATCAATTACAGATCTAATCAAATATTTTATATTATTTTAAAATTTTAGCAAGTATGTATTTTAGTTAGGTACTGCAAACTTAAGTGATTTTGTGTGAAGTAAATTATTCTGATAATTGGATTTAGTACCAACCCTCCCCTGCCCTGTGACATGTGACATTTGCCCTCCCCATCCCACTTCCCAAGCCAGGAATGAGTCAATAAGGCTCTTGCACCTTGGTGGGGGAGCACAAAACCGACTTTGCCTGCAGAGAAGACTTGAATGGCTCTGTGTGCACAGCAATTGAAGTGTGTTTACTCATAAACATAAATGTACATAAATATAGACCAACCCCGATGACTTTGGTGTCCCTTTCCCTCCAGCTGGGTTTGTATGAGCATGTGTTAGTTCTTTACAGAGCCTGTGGTGGCCACACGGGGGTCACTGAATGCCTCTGGCTCTGGCCTGAGGAGGTGCCATCACAAAGGGTTTCCTTGCCATTCCAGAGCTTTTGGGTTGTCCCAGTTGCAGGTTTTCATTCGATCCCTCGGCTCTAAAAGAGGATCTGAGCAGCTTCACCCGAGTTTGAACTCAGCCCTGCTCCAAGCAGGGAGGGGGACTACATGACCCTCCCAGGAAAGTTTTTCTATGATTCTAAAGTGGTGATGGTTGTGAAAAGGAGAGGGAAAGGAAGGATACTGCAAGGGCAAATTGGATCAAACTGGGGCTTACCAAAGACTCTTGTTGAAGCCTCTTCAGAGAACACGTATCCCTCTGGGATATAAACCATTAAATTAAGCTCAGCCTCCCACAGTGTGTGTGAGGCTGGTTTAATTTAAACCCTCCTAGGGGTTGTGACATGAGAGATCTCTCACTCTCAGCAGGGACAGGCCCAGAATATAAAATCCAGGAGTCTTTGTGGTTGCTGGTGACTCAGCTAAGGATGCTCTTCCCACTAAGTGTTACATGTAGCTTGTGATTAAACAGCTTTCCCCTGAGAAAACTTTTCAGTGGAATTAATGCTTCTATTTTCAGTGGAGAAGGGTTTTCTTTGAGAGGTTTTACCTGCTGAAAAAGCTTTAGAGTTTGAAGAACTTTGAATTAATTTTACATGTGTCAGAAGCCATTTTTCTGTGAAAAATGTCCAACTGCTTCCAATGCGAAGTGGATGTTTTATTATTTATATTTCCACTTTTTAATGCATTTTAATTGCATTAATTATACCAACCGTCCCTTCCCCTGTGACATGTTAAAAAGCTACAGATTAAATCTTCCTTATTCCTCATCTTCTACTGCCATCTACTGACTCTTGGCTGAATGGCCTCATCGTCGAACCTTGAATAAATATCTTTGGTGTACTGCATTTAAGAGCTACAATTTTGATAAAAGCATCATTTCTACTGGCCTTGGAAGGTTTGTTTTCCCCTCCATTTTAAATATTTTTGGTTCTCTGTTAGCTTTTCAGGACAGATCTATCATGTTGAGTTATGTGCAAAAAAAAACCCAACCCAAAACCAAAAACAAACCAGGGCTTTTTGGATCAATGGGGAAGAGAAGGAGCAGGAAATGTAGCAGCATTTCTGCATGTGATGATGCTCCTGTGAGTTCAGAAATTCCTGGGAAAAATTAAGGAAAATCAGCTGTATACAACAGGGAAATGGGACTTGCTTTAATAGGAACTGGCTCACTTTTTTCAGGGGAAGGTAAATTCAAATTCAGAAAACAGAACCTTTCTGCCTCATTGAAAGGTGTTATTGTTTTTTTCCAAGAAATACAATTACAGGAATCGATTTATGTCTGCAAAATGTTTATGCTTTGGTGAACACTACATTTTCTAATTACAGAATCAGTTCAATCTGCCCTTTGAACCCTTATTGGATCAGTGTGTCCTGTTACAGGCAGGTGAAAGCAGCCACCTTGAATGTCATCTACCATGTAAAATATTCAGGAACCCTGTTTTCCCCTCAGATTTCTCAGTAGAGCCTGAGGCCCCCGAAGAGATATTTATAAATCAAAAATTATATTGATATCCATAAATCATCAAATAGATTTCACTTATCTGATTTAGAACTCTTATGGTCTCCTTTTGCCAGTTCCCAGCACTCCAAATTCACAGGGGTTGGTTTAAATAATGAAGTATTTGGAACAATGATGAATTTTAGCTTTTCTGAGCTGTCTTTTGGTATTTGAGCCTTAAGCAGCACATTTCAAGATCTTTTCAGCACTAATGCTACTGTTTTCAGGTATCTGCTGATTATGAGTGGCTGCCTTGAACTTGCTGGTTTTTTACAAGGCCTCTCCTCTGACTCAGGATCTGCAGGAACCACCTCCCCTGCAACAAAATAGGACATAAAATAGCCCCATATAAGAAATTCTGTGCCTCATGTCCCAGCCTCAGGCAGGCATCTCATGTCCCACCCAACCTGTGAAAACAGCAAGTTCCCTGGAAAAGAAATCCATGTGTGTTCAAGGCAGCCACACATAATCAGCAGATACTTGAAAAGAGTGGCATTAATGCCTTTTTGCCTCTGTTCCCCATTGCCAGAACGGAGATGATAATCCCAGCTGTTGCAGTGCTGGATAAAATGCCCTCATCAGTGCTTGTGATCCGTGGATACGGAATGGTAAAAGCCTCACAGGATCCTGAAGAAAGAAGGGAATGAATAATTCTGCACCTAATCTGAGGGTTATATAATATGCATTCAATAAGTGCACATCAAATGAGGAGGATGAAAGGGACTGTTGAAAACCAGCTCGTTTGCTGAAGAAAAAAAAAAGGCAGGATCCTGTGGGAAGAGGAATATGTGATCACCTCATTAAGAAATATATAATTATCCCTACACTTAAGAGGGCTGAGCTTCAAGTGTACAAGTAATCTAATTCCTAGTATTTCTTAACTTTTCCTTGTTGAACTTTGCAGCTTTATTATGTTTTGTGGAATGGGTTTTGGTTCAGCAACCACCTCCTCCAAGCTCAAGAGCTGCCCATCCTGACAAGCAGGAAGGCAGGCAAAACCACACTGATAAATTAGGGGCTCCTGGACCACAAAAGCCTTGGTGGAAGAGGATCCAGCCAAGGAACACTCAGGCAAGTTGGACCTGCATAAGTCCCCAGGCACTGATGGGATGCATCCCCAGGTGCTGAGGGGAGCTGGCAGATGGCACTGCCAATTTTCTGTCCCAGTACATTGCCACAGCTTGTACACTACACCTTTGTTGTTGTTGTTGCTGAATGGGTTTTTCAGTAAATTCTAAAATTAACTTGAGGAAGAAAAATTAACTAACAACTTCACTGAAAGTAAATCTGGTGTACCAAGTGCACGTCAGGGTCTTGATTATGCATTTGACTTAACAAGCCTTCCTCTCAAAATTCATTTGAAAGAGCAATCCTCTTAGAAATTTTCATGTACTCTGAAAATAGAAAACGATACAAAGTAATGAAATGAACATAAGTGGAGGATTGAAATCTATGGGACAAAAAGCTCTTTTTGCTTCTTACGTGTACAGTGGGATGCAACGAGGAGAACTGTAAAAGCAGTAATTTCTGGGCTGTAGAAATTGGGTTAAGTAATAGAACTGGGAGTAGTGAAGCCTGTCTGGGTGGAAAACACCCCTGAATTCCATCTAGGAGGAAAGGATGGACACCAGTAGAGGCAAATTAGAAAAGTGATGTGGGGGGGAAAGTGGAATAAGGATGGGGTGTGTGTAAACTGCAAAAGAGAGCAAAAATTGCTTCCAAATACCTTAGAAATCCTTGGGATAAATAAAACTCTCTAACACTGTCTTTTCAGTTTCAGAAAGCAAGGCACTATTTTATTTACAGTGCTGGGTGTGTATGTGGCTGACAAAAATCCTGCCTCCACACAGACACCAATACATCACTTTTTCACCTATTTATACATTTTTGACAAAGAAATTAATGTTCATTGGTTCTAAGTTACATAATTCCCCTTCATTAATTAGTGTTCTATCCACTATTGGTTATCAATCTCTCATTGCTTATGCTAATTAGCTCATATCTTTAGTCTTTTTAGTATCTTTTTCTGACACAAACACTGCACCTTTGTCAGTCTTCTTCCTTATCTGCTGGTTTCTGCAGAAGGTCCTTGTAGTCCATAAATCCTGTGTTCCAGATGTCCAGCTTCATCAATACATCTTTCTCTCCTGGGCTTTGTTTATTGAAGCATATCCAGGTTAACTTTAACAAAACTTAACAGTTTTAGTACTTTTCCCGAGCTGTGTTCTCACAAAAGTACTTTATGACAACTTCTTTTGCTATTCGCTGGCTAAAAGCAATTTAAGGCCTAATTGAGATTAATTAAAACAACTAATCCAAAGGTTAACTAAGACCATTAAAAAATTAGAGAAGTTATCTAATTTCCAACCCCCCAAGAGGGTGTGGATGTAAAGGGGCTGTGATCACACACAGAATCACAGAACATGCTGAGCTGGAAGGGACCCACAGGGATCACAGAGTCCAACTCCTGGCCCTGCACAGGACCATTCCCAGGAGTCACACCAGGGCAGAGGAGATGGGGAAGAGCCTTGATGGGAAGCTGTGTGAGGACACTGAGGGCACTTGGTGTGTTCAGCTGGAGGAGACTGAGGGGAGACCTCAGTGCAGTTCCAATTCCTGGGCAGGGGCAGAGGAGGGGCAGGGACTGAGCTCTGCCCTGGGCGGACCAGGGACAGCACCCAGGGAATGGCTGGAGTTGTGTCAGGGCAGGCTCAGGTTGGATCTCAGGGAAAGGTTCTTCCCCCAGAGGGTGGTTGGCAAATGCCTGAGCTCCCCAGGGCGTTGGGCACCGCCGCCAAGGCTGCCAAGAGCTCGCAGGAGGGTTGGAATATCCTCTGGGGCACAGGGGGTGACTCTGGGGATGGTCCTGTGCAGGGCTGAGGGTTGGACCGGATGATCCTTGTGGGTCCCTCCCAGCTCAGCACATCCTGGGATTCTGTGACATGTCTGATATTGCGGTGACCAAAACCGCACACGCTGTTCAAGGTGGGGCCGCACCAGCGCAGAGCGGGGCACGTCGTGTCATTCATTATGTCATGTTGTGTTGTGTCATGTCGGGACATGCAGTGTGGTGTTATGTCGGGACACGCGGTGCGGTATCGGGACACGCGGTGCGATATCGGGACACCCGATGCGGTGTCGGGACATGCGGTGTCGGGACACGCGGTGCGGTGTCGGGACATGCGGTGTCGGGACATGCGGTGTCGATCAATTGCGTGGCGGTGTGGACAGGTGCGGTGTTCGGACATGCGGTGTCCGGACATGCGGTGTCGGGACATGCGGTGTGGCACAAGGCCGCCCGCCCCGCAGCGCAGCTGGCCGCAGCTCCCCTCCCGCGCGCCGGCGCGGGCCCTTTGAAATGGCTAATGAAGGGCGGCGGCGCGTGCGGCGCCGGCCCCGCTGATCGTGTAAAACTTCGGCGGGCATCTTGGGGCCAGTAAGACACAGCGCGGCCTCGAGCTCACAACCGCGCCGCCACCCGCACCTGCCGCCCAATGTAGCGAGGCGGCGGAGACCAGCGCTTGCCAGCGAGGCACTCACAGCGCCCCGGCCGCCGCCGGCCCAATCCGCTACTGGGCCACGCCGGCCGCCCCCGGCCGCGCCCGAGTCACCGCCACGGACGGCGGTGCCAAGAGCCCGGCAGCGCGCCGCGCGGGCCGCGCCTGTGGCGTGGCCGAGGCGCGCCCGGGCTGCCGCCGCCCCGCCACACCGGCCGGGCCCGAGTCGGAGAAGAAAGTGCCTGGGTGAGGTCCGAGCTGCCGGCGCGACCTGTGGGATACGGGCCGGCCCGGGGAGCGCTCGCTCGGCGCTGCCACCGCAGGGAAGGCGGCCGTGCCCTCGCCCGCCCGGGCGGGCGCCGGGTCTGTCGGCGGCCGGGACAGCGAGGGAGGGACAGCCCTGGGGAGCCTCTGCCCGGCACCTGCCGGCGCTGCCCCGCTCGGAAGGGCTGCTGCGGAACGCTCTGTGTGCCTCCCTTTAGTGTTAAGGTCCTGGCACAACTTTTCTGTCTGTAAAGAACGGGTTTAGTGGGGTGTGCTTGTTTGGGGCTTTTTTGGGAGTTTGCGGTGCTTGTTTGGTTTTTGTTTGTTTGTTTGTTTGTTTTTTCCCCAATTTCTAACTTGTTTTCAGTAAAGAGGCAGAAAACCCAGGCTCCCCAGGGCAGTGGTCACAGCACCAAGGCTGACAGAGTTCAGGAAGCCTTTGGATGACACTCTCGGGCACATGGTGTGATTCTTGGGTATGGTCCCGTGCAGGGCTGAGGGTTGGGCTCGATGATCCCTGTGGGTCCCTTCCAACTCGGCATGCTCTGTGAAAATGCCATGTTGCCATCTCTCAAACCCAGTGCATAGCAAGCGTGTTTTTTGTTTTGTTTTTTTTTTTGTTTTGTTTTTTTTAATTTGTGATTAAATAAGGTCAACCTGTTGAAAAGGACAAGGGTTGAATCTGTGGAACTAGGGATCTGCTATTTGTAACTGTGTGACTCCAAGAGGCTGTTTAAAAGCAAAGTTGAAGCTGACTAATAGTCGCAGACTTCCCTAAAGAATGACAGCACCTTCTATTCTGAAGGGAAAGACTGAGGTCTTACTGCGGCAGAGAGGAGCCAGGTAAAGGATTTCTCCGGAGTGGTGGTAAGAAGAATTCTAGCAAAACAGATTGGAGGCACGGTTTGTGTGATTTCCTCCTGTTACCTGATTTATCAGTAATTAGAGCACAATAATCAGCACATCCATACCTGTTGGTGTGTCTGGCTTCTTCTTGCATTAACATGGCTCTTTTCATTTTTGGTAATGTTTTTGTCTTGTCTGCCAGTTGCTTTTGCTTTGAGAAGGGGTAGGGGGGAAGTGAATGCACAAATACTTTTCCCGGACTAGCAGGAAAATGAAAACCACCATGGGGATGGTTTTGCACAATGGCCCTTTTCCTACCAAGCTTTTTAGTAGGAATTGTGAGGAAAATGATCACTGATAGCACTGATAGTGCTAATTGAAATGGCCTTGCTTAAAGTCCGCCTCAAATGTCCCTCTTGATGGTGGTGTAATTATGTTCACTTAAGTTTTTTACAAAGATCTCCTTAGAAGCAAATGCCCAAGGCATCTAAGTGTCTGACTTCTAGGAATAGGGATAAGGGTTACTCAACTCTCTCTGTTCTGCTGGTCACAGGAAGCTTTGGCTTTCCTTGTTAAAAGGTTATTTTGTCACGGGTGGGAGTGGCTGATGATTGTTTCCTCTGATAGCATCAGAGTACAGCATCTTGTAGCAATATGTGGGCTTTCACTGGTGGGACAGACGTCATCACATCGCATCAACCACCCTCTCTGACTCATCAGTTTAACTCCTTGCTGTGTTTTCCTCTGGGCTTGTTCTCCTCCTTGCCCGACTTCCCTGTTGGGACAGCTCAGGCTTTCCAGTGACTGTGCCATGGCCACGTGGATGTTCAGAGTCGTGCTGTTGTCCGAGGTTCTTTGGCCCCACAGTGATACTCAGGGAATACTGTAAGACCGATGTCTGTAGGGAATAGTGTTTCCCCAGTACTCACCCCGGTTTCTTGCAACTTGTGCAAAAGTTGCTCTGAAACTGTGACACACAGAGAGTGAATTGTGACTGCCCCTCATTCCCCCGGCTCCCTGACTCCTCTGAGGGGTTTTGCCATGCTTCCTAAGCTTCTCCTCCTCTTCCTAATCTGATTGAAATAGGCCAACAGATTCCAAAGCTGTTTTGCAGGGGAGGGAAAGGATGATGTTGAGGGAATCAGTGGTATTAGCACTGTTTCTTAAAGCAGCTAAAACCTGCCATTGGCACCTGTTTCTGTGCTTCCCTCCTTCTCCTCTTGTGTTAGTGCAGTGAGCTCTTGCAGCCAGAGCCGTTGTGGTAGCAGAGAGCATCTGTATGTAGTGATGTCCCTATAAATACTGATGCTGAAGGTTCTCACTGAGTCAGTGTTAGGCAGTGAAACTTAGGAGTTTTTTTATCTCTATAAACAAGAATTCTTGGGAATGTATGTTTTGTACTGGGCAGAACCCTTTTTTCTAGTCGATGTCTCAGTCTTAACATGACTTTGCTTCTTCTAATTAAGAACATTTTCTGCTAAAAAGCATATTAAAGGAGACCAAAATCTTCACTTCTAAAAATGGGATGAGAAGAGGCCTGTTATTGGAAGTAATAACAGCAGCAGTACTGCAATGGGTGCTGGTGTCAAACATTCTCATTTGAGGTCTGTGTTCAGAGGGGTGTGTGAGAATTGCAAGACTTCATGGGACTGAAGGTCTGTCTGGCTCTGTCATCTCGTCTGGGCGTTTAGGGAAGAATGCAGGCATAGAGAGGATAAAGGTGACAATTTACAGTGAGTTCTTGCCTCCAGCAGAGTGGCTTGGACTTCTGAATTGGAGATTCTCTAGACTGTTCTCCCTTTAATTGTCTCTTAGGTTCCTGCCACCCCCAAAACATAGGCGTAAGGTTTTTAGCAAGCAGTCATCTGTAGGTGACTGGGTCCTTTTCAAGTAAGTGCTACATAGATTGCTTAGATACTTGTGCTCAGGCTGTGTTCAATTGTAGAAGCCAAACCTCTCCTTTTGGAAGAGGTCTGAAAAGTACAAGTTTGTTGTGTCCACCCGGTTGCTGAGAGGGAAGGAGGGGTTGAACTGCCTCCATCACTGTTGAGTTCCTCCCACACATTCCTATAAGTTGGAGGAACAGGTTTTGCCAGATCCTATAAGACACTGCAGTATGGCTTCTAAGTAGATGCTGTTTCAGTGTTGAGACAGGAGCTTGTCTTGATCCTGGAAGTCAGGGAACATCAAGTTGGACAGTTTGCAGCTGATCTCTAGAAGCAGGAATATTAAAAAAAGTCTTATGGTGTCTTTATTTGGTTAGAGTAATGCTGACAATGCAAGAAAGAGCTGGGCCAAAACAGGGATGTGCTGCCTTTTCACTTGAGAGACATAGTACTTGATACTGCTGCTTTGGCCAGTTCTGATTTCCAGGGAAGAAAGAAGGGTAACTCCAAGTGAAAGAAAGCAGTTTTAAACAGCTTTCTTCAGCTGTGTTTCATGTCTGGCTACTGAGCTAAAGAGAACTGATGAATTGCTGTGGGATTGTCAGCTTTGCTGCCCCTTTCTGGGATAAGAAATACAAAAAGAGAAGGGATGGATGGACAGTTCTGGAAATAGAGCTTTGTGCTGTGTGTTAAACTCTTGGCTGAAGAACAGTCTGTTAAAGCACTGTATCTTGCCACTGCATTAGTATAAACTGAGCTGGGAGATGTTCTCTCTCTTTGTTAAGAGAACAGAATAGGTCTGGTGGTGAGTTCCCACGCAAGTATAAAAGTATTTTTGTAACATTGTTGTACTTTCTTATGCTTTAGATTAAATTCTTTAACTTTTTCTTTCCAGCCACCAAAGTTCTTGGCACAGTCAAGTGGTTCAATGTCAGAAATGGATACGGCTTTATCAACAGGTATGTTTAAATTGTGATAGACTCGTGGTGCAGATAACATGCCATGCATTAGTAATTGCAACAGGGACCTGGGGACCTGACTCCTGGCTTCATGCAGTTGATGGTCAGCTTTGGCCAGGCACTCAACAAGCTTTTTTCCTTAAACACCCCACCCCCCAATCAAAGGGAGAAAACAGAAAGGGTCAAACTCATTACAGATTTGGTCTGTTACCCGTTTCTCCTGTTTACTCATACTGCACCTTTAATGAGCTGCATAATCTTTCCTGACTGCCTGGCTGTTTTCTAAACGGCAGGAAGAAGGGAAATACTTCTGGGTAAAGTTTAAGTGTTAACTGGTCAATACACCTCCTGTGGATACACATTGAGATGCTCTGATGGCACCTCATTGAAGATCTTCCAGGCCTGGCTTTCCTAGAAATTCTTTTTGTCCCTTTTTTCCCCCTTCTCCTTTGAACACAAACAACGCTCTGGGTGGCACTGATAATCCACACAGCTGTAGGTAATAGCGATCACCCTGCAGCCTTAGGTGCCCAGGACCCCTGCTTCCGAGTTACTGGAGAAAACTCTGGCTTTTAAGGCTGGAATATCTGTGGGGTTGAGGGGCTTAAATGTCTTGTGTGCTTTATGAGGAATGAAACGCCTGCATGCTGAGCTCTTGCAAAAGACATACCTGGCAAGTTATTTCATTCTGGAAGTCCTTGAGCTGTTACACATCAGGTAGATTTGGGTAGGGTGCAGCAGGGGGGAGAAGACCCCCTGTCTCAGTTCTGGTGCAGTGTTGATCTCGGTCCCTGGAGGTTACTAGCCAGTGTTATGTAAGCTTAGAGGAAAAGTTTGAGCTAGGAAGTACTCTTAAAATCTTTTATAGCAGTTGACTTCAGAGCCTTCAGCTGGTTATGGTGTAATAACTTGTTAGCTGTCTTCCTAAAGTGAAGCCTGCAATTGCTTCAATCCAGCACAACAAGTTTTAGATTATGCATTATCTTCCCAAGCTCTTTGACCTGCCCGTTGTGTTTGTGGAGAGGGAATGAACAGATGGCAGGGTTTAGGCTCTCCCTTGTTGTATGGGAACACAGAATCAAGGTCTCAGACTTATCTTCATGTTTTGCACGTGGAAACCTGAACTGTCTGGCCTAATCCATGTCTGGGTCCTGCTCCCGTGGACTCTCCTAACACCTCTTGTGCACGGTTGCTTTGAGTTTCACTGAAAGGAGATCTCTGTTAACAGCTGCGGTCAGTCCTGCTGATAGTCTCGTTTGACCTCTGGGGTAACAGCTCAGGTTGCATTCCCTGTGCAAGTGTTTTTGAGGAATTAGAATAGTGAAAAACAAGCAGTCCAGTCATTAACTGTACCCTCTGCAAAAACAAAACACTGAACGTTTGCCAGAAGATTACAGAGAACTTCCCCCTGTCCTCTCACACTTTTGAAGGCTGGGGAGTCCTTTCTGCTCTCAAGCATATGACCCTACAAGTTCAGAGCAGGGTTTTGGTAGCACAGACTTAGACAGAATGTATGGAATTCAGGGCATGTGCTACAGGCTGAGAGAAGGAGGGTTTCACTTGTAAAGCCAGGAATTTCTATTTAAGTCTCTTAGCCTAAACTCTTACGACTTCTTGTTTTCTGTTCACAGAAATGATACCAAAGAAGATGTGTTTGTTCATCAGGTAAGACAGCAGTGATTGTGCTTAGAGTTGTGTACTATGGTAGGTTTCTAATGCAACTCCTGCCACAGCCACCCAACCTTGTCCTAGCTTCTTAAAATATTGACTGCAGATACCTTGAATGAATGTGTATGTTTGAATTTTCATGGAGAAATATTAGGTTATATTTTCCTTCTCTCTGGAGTTTGACTGAAGAGTTATTATAACCCTTCATGCTTTCTTTTTGTCTGCTCCAGTTTGAGCACTAAAGGTGCTTGGAGAGTTTTCTGGTGTGGTTTGTGTTTTTGTTTGGTTGTCTCCTCCTCTGTTTGTAAACACCTTGGTGCTTGTTCTCTCCTCCCCGCCATTTTCTCACGCTCCTTGTGTCTTTTGTTCCTCCCTCCCCTCCTCATTTGCAGGTTTGTTCTGTCTGCCCTCCCTGGTATTGGGGAGAAAGTGAGCTAGTCTGGCTGTTGACCAGCCAGTGTTGCCATCAGCTGTTGTGCACGAGGCAGCTGCTCCCAGGAAGAAGAGGAGGAAGGCCTTGTGCCAAGTGTGCCCAGGCAGGGAGAGCTGGCCCAGAGGCTTGTCATTGGTTCACTTTCCTTGAGCTGTCAGGAGGCTGTTCTAAGTTTATCCTGGGACTCTCAGGTTGCAGGCAAATGATGGCAAGACAGAGGATGCTGTCTCCATGCTGGTGTAAACTGATTATTGACTTAGATCTGGTTGGGCATCACTTGCATCATTCACCAAAAAATGAAATAGTGCCCCTAGAGCTCGTCCCACATAAAATGTCTGCAGGCTCACATGATCCTTGAAAGCATGAACTTTCTCTGTGGCATAAGTGACAGTATTTCCATCAGATGTAACCAGGAAACTTGTACTCGGCTGCTCACAGAGGATGAGGATGGGTGCATATATAGTTAGTTGAGTCAACCCTGAGAGTTGGTTTAGTTCCCGTGGCTTCATGACTAAATAGCCTGTGATAACTGTTTCTCTGGGTCATAGGGTGTAGACTGAAACTGGATAAAGCTGGGAGGGAGCAAGGCCAGTGCCCACAATGAGTGAAGGTGATGTTGGGAAGTGTGCACAGTGCACATTCCTGGTTCAGCTGGTGGACTTGAGAGCAAGAGCTGTCAATGCATATATTGATTTTTAATGGTCATTTTCCTTTCTTAAAGGACTGGTGCTGTGAGCATGCTGAGACATCAGTGCTCTGATGGGAGGGTGGGAAGAGTTCTGGTAACAGAAACATGCTCTGGATAGGCAGCACTGTACAACTACCTTGAAGACAAATGAGGTCTCTTTGAGAGAGTGAGAGGATATCCTGGAAAATGGCTGTTGTGCTGATGACAGAGATGACATGGATCAATGTTCTGCTTGGGAAAGCTGCCTGCAGAGACCCAAACAGCAAGCTGCTGTTCCCTGTGCTGTTTTGTCTCCTTCACCCGTAGGGCCTGTTCCCCTAAGTGTGACCTGGTGGGTGTGTGGAGGGGGGATGGAGGCGGGCACTTCCATCTCCTGGGGCTGAGAGTCCTCTGGGAGTGAACACAGAGAAAAACTGGCTTTGGTTCAGAAATACCACATCATGTGCAGGCCTGCACCCGACCAGCCCTCTCGGGGTGGGCTGAGCACGGCAGAGGAGATGTTTCTGCAGTGGGATGTTCCTGAGCAGAGCTCGGCCCAGAGCCTGGGCCGTCCTGGCCGGTGCTGCTGCTGGGGCCGCCCGGCGAGGGAGGCAAATCCCTGCTGTGAGCAAACATCCTGCTCCCGCCGGCTCTGCCCCTCCTCCCCGCGCCGCCGGGAGGGGCTGGATTACATGCCTAATCCCTTCAGAATAAGGCTGACCTAGTTGAATGGATCCAGCCTCCTCCCTGCCTCCCCTGCCTGCATCCTCGTGGGGAGGGAACAGGCCGATCTCATGATTGGAATGGGGGTTAATGCTTGGTGTCTGGCTATTGGATGCTATTTATAAACCTAGTACAGATTAAAATGCTTTTCTTTTTAGGGCATGCATGGCTTGCTTTGAGTTAACCCTTTGTCTTGCTGGGGACCCAAGCAGTGTTTTTTGGGAAGGGCAGTTCTTCACCTGCTCAGTCTTGCTTGGTTCATGCAGGGTGCTGTCTGGGCCACTGTGTCAGCCAGCTACAGGTGGTGTGAGCAGCAGGGATCAATCGTGGTGGGGTGGAGAGTGCCTTGCAATGTTAACACCATTCCAAGTGTCAGCAGCCAGAGAAGTCCAGTTTAATTAGGTACAGTTTGAATCAACGAGCAGTGGGGAGGAGTTAATCTCTTCTGTTGTAAGGCTCTTTCTTTCTCTTCGCTCCACTGGACTGTGTTGATCATGCACCTGTACCTGTTATAACAACCTTTGGCTGTTACTGTGACAGTCCTGGATGTGCATGGGATGTGCTGGTGTGAGCATATGGGAAGAACTCTCTCAAACAAAACCCTGAACTGGCTCTGAAGACTCTTGTAGCTGCCTGTTCATCAGTGTCCCCTTTGGAAAGGAAAGGCTTTGTTGTTGAGTGCTGTCTATGTTAATATAAAACATCTGTCTTCTGAATCAGAGGAGCTGGAGCCTGCAGGGTGCTGGTAAACAGTAACAGGGAGAACAGTGCTTTCTCCCCTCTGGATACACATGGTAAAAGTCTTTCCATCAAGCTTAGAGCTTAGGCTTGTTAGAGGCTTATTTCAGCAGTGTTTACCTGCAGCTGAAGTTGTAAGTAGTAAAGCTGCATAGTTCCTGCTTGGAATTCTAGGATTTACTCAAAATTGTCCTGATTGCCTTTATAAAACAAGCCCCAGCCTAGAGTGTAGCAGCCTCTGTCTCCTGTTGGCAGGTTATGCAATATAACATTTATGGAAAAGCAAACACCTCTGTGTGATTTTTAGAAATGGGGCAGTTGCACTAAAAGGTCAGCAGAAAGCAAACAAAGTTGTCTGAGCTAATGGTGTGAGTCTCTGCTTGCTAAAATAATTCCCCAAAGAATTCACTTGACAGCTCGTTCTGTTTCTGTGTATAAAAAAACCCCAAACAGCCTCTTGGGTTGTTTTTGCTTTGGTAGTAACAATATGTACACTCTTAGATTCTTCCTGAAGCCGTTCAGGGATGCTGCAGGGTACAGGGACAGGTGTGGCTACAAGGACAGGCTGGCCTGTTGCCTGAAACAGAGAGGAGATTGTGTTCAGCAGCAAGGAGAACACATTCCCTGAACTAGTCAAGATCAACTTTAAGCTGATTAGATTTTTCCTTCAGTGAGAGATGCTTTTGGGCTGTTGTTGACTGAAGGAATATTCTACCACACACAGGTAACAACTCCTCTGAGCTGCATTCTGCCTGTTTTCCTTGTACTGCAGATATGCCAACTTTCTTCTCTTTCTGCCCTACATCCCATTTCTTAAGCTGGATTAATGCCCTGTATTTCCATGTGTTTCTGTTTACTGGTTCTGCACCTCCCTCTTCCTGCTGACAAAAGATGCCCAGATCAGGAAACTTAAAGTGAATTGGGCTTTAACAATCCAACGTAACTTCAGTTAAAAAATGGCTACTAAATTGGCTTGTACAGTACATGTGTTTTCTCCCCTGACCTCTCCCAGTTGATGAAGCCTTACCTGATGAACAGACAGTAGGCTTGTCTTGCCTACTTTTATGGAATCCAACCAGTTTTTGTGGAATCCTGGAAATACTCCACAGAGTAAAAGGCATCTGTAGTTGACAGACTGAAAGTCACGCCAGGAGGTTTGAGTGTTCCCGTGAGCCTGAGGTTTTGATGCAAACCCATGTTGTTAGTAGTATTAAAGCATTCTAATATAACTAATAATAGTGTTATTATTAATAATGATGTTATTATTAATAACAGTGTTATTATTTTGGGGTTTTTTCTCAGTAGATGGTCTACAGGTGTCCTAATAACAAAAGGCACAGGTCACGCTTGCTGCTAGAGCTGCCTTGGTGTAGCTTGCAGGAGATGAACCACTCAGTATGAACTGTAATGATTTGGATGTTTAGCTCACTGGACAGAGTGGATCCTGATGTATAAACTCAAAAATAGTGAGAAAAGAGTAAACTTTGACTGAGTATTGGTGGGACTGTAAAATGAGAGACGTGTGTGTTTGAACTGTCTTGGTGTGGCGACTGATCTGGTGTGTAGAGTTGGGACTGTAGCAGAAGAATGCTGCCCTTCCCTCATCTATGTGGTTATGAATTTCTAAGGTAAGTAACACACAAAAATATATGATTTTGCATCTTTTTTCTTTGAAGACGGCGATAAAGAAAAACAACCCCCGGAAGTACCTGCGCAGTGTTGGTGATGGAGAGACTGTGGAATTTGATGTGGTCGAGGGAGAAAAGGTAGGAGATTATGGAGTGTGGCCCAACAGAGTGGGGAGTGACACAGAACCTTGCCTGTGTCTCTGGGGTTTTTGTCTGATGGACAATCCCCGGGTAGGTGGCATTTCCTACAGCTTTTCTATGGGAGAGCTGTTTTTTAAAGGCTTCATCAAGGTGTGTTTCTAGATATGTGTCAAAACTCTACCTCAACTACATGCCAGTGCTTCTAGAATTTGTAATTTCTACCTGATAGAGCATTCAAAGCTTGCAGCCTGCCCAGCAATCATTAACTGAGGCATATATTGCTCTGGAGAGTTTGTTTGCAGTTTGGTAGTTTAATAACTGTAAGAACTTCCAAGTTCTTTACACTTCTACTTTCTTGAACATTTTTTGAGGGTGATGGGGGTTTCATGTCTTTGTCTTTAATCAGTTACTTCTTGCTTCCCTCTCCAAACTCAGCCTGATATGATCTTAGGACCTTAACTCGTGATCATAACTCTGGGTTATGGGGTTGGGAATAACAAACCTGCTTTTGCGCTCCGTGGGAGAAGGGAATCGCTGTAGCTTGGAACTTGGGCCAAAAAGCCTCTTTGCTGTTTCATCCTCTCCCTGTAGCTGGTTGTTGTTTTCCCAGCCCCTGGCTGACTGTGTTGTGCTCTCAGGGTGCAGAAGCAGCCAATGTCACTGGTCCAGACGGAGTCCCTGTGGAAGGCAGCCGCTACGCCGCCGACCGGCGCCGCTACCGACGGGGCTACTTCGGCCGACGCCGTGGGCCACCTCGGAGTGTGAGTTCAGTTCCTTTAGTGCTGGTCACCCACCTCCTCAGCAGCTCTCCATGAGAGGGAACTGCACCTTCAGCACTGGCACATAGTGAGCTGTCAATGATTAACTGAGTTGTGAGTGTTCTTCAGTAACATTCCGGGTTCCTCCAGCACATCGCTGAGGTTGACACTGATACTTTCTTTTATTTGGTATCTGGTAGCCCTTCCTTGTCATGTTTTTCTAGGATGTGTTAAAAGCATCTCCTTGGGTGTTGGTTTGAAAAGTAAACACAAAGGGCTGAGACCTAAGTGGCTCACCATGCCCTTTACCTGAAGCAAACATATTATATTACTCATAACCCTCCAAGTTATGGTTATATATGGTTTACTTGGACAATGGGATTTATTTTAGAAGTTTGTCACTTCTGCATGGCATGGCAGTAGTTTGACCAGCTGGCTGAAACCTCCCTGTATCATCCCTTCATAGGCCTCTGCCTACAAGTGTTCTGTGTAAAGATAATGGTGTTTGGGGTTTTTTACCCCTTTAAACCAGCTATGCACCACTGTTCATTACATCTGCAAGACTTCCTAAGCATCTTCCCTGCAGGTTTTTGCAGAGGAAGAAGTAAGCATGAGGACCATGACTGTGGTTCTAGCAGTTACTGCTCCTGTCCACATTGTGCTTCTGCTAAATTGGTGCCTGGAACAATCCAACAAACTGGAACATATTTTTTTTAATAGTTAAGTCTGATCATCACTTGCAGAAATGTGTGAATGATCCAGTATAACAGCCCTGGTGGAAGGCTCTGCCCAGGCAATATAACTTTCCTCTCATTTTGCAGAGCTGACAGCACAGGGGCAAACAGAACAAGTGTTGTTGAATCCTTCCCTAAAGCCTAGTTGTTTATACCAGCTATCATTAGGTGTTTTCTTTAATCCTGCCTCAATGTACTTGTGCTGAGCTGTGTTCTCTTATCTAATGCAAACTCAGGCAGCTAAAAGCCTGGCTTTCATCTCACACTTGGATCCCAGTCCTTGAAGATGTACACAAGGGGAACAAATTGTTATTATTGCCCTGTTTTCCTCTGGCTTGCTTATATGTGAGTCCCCAGGCTGATTTGGTGTGGGTACCAGACCTCAGCTGTTGTGTGCCCTGTGCCTGATGCCTTTAGCAATCATATGGCATTTTATAATGGAAAGGATACTGCTCATTCTTTGGGATCACTGACTCTGGAAGAATTACAGCCTTAAAAGCTTACAAATGATAATTTACAGAAGGACATGAACCTGGGTGGTCATTGTTTCCCATTGCTTATAAGGTTTGTTGGTCCTTCCTTTGGCTTGAGCACCCTCTGAAAGTCGTGTCTTGCCATCAATGCATGGACTGCTCCTCTGGATTTGATATTATCTGTTAAAATTGGGAGCAAGTTCTGTTTCATTCAATGCCCCAATAACAGAGGCATTGGAGGTTGTGCCTCTCTACTTGAGAGAGTGTTTCCAGCTCTTGGGCACTCTTGAGCTGTGTTTGCTGAAAGTGTATTTACTCTTTCTGCACAGCTGAAGGAAAAGGTTTCAGTGTACCCAGGCCTGCTGTAACTAAAAATCTTCAGGATTTTTAACCTGCCCTTTAGGATGACCTAATGTTTTGTTTGAATGTACAGGCTCAGTTGGGAGGTTTCTGTGGAGGAGACTGAGTGAACACGTGTGTGCTAGACATGGGGTGATGCTTTCAAGAAACTTTCCTAATAAATTAATCTCATATACTTACTATCATATGGTCAAACAAGACCTCAAAGTCCTGGTTCTGTTTTCTGGTGGAATTACACCTGTTTCAGTGAGTTATGACAGCATAATTGTTTTATTCTGGAGCCATACTTCACTTCTGATCAATTGACAGTGATATTAATGTAATGTGTTCATTGAATTTTTGTGCTGCTATAGAAGTGCAGGAAATTATCAGGGCTTCTGGGCTAAGCAATTCAGTTGCTTTGCTGTTCTGTTTTCAGCTGATTGTTTAAGCCAAAACCATTTAAAATATTGATATAACAGTATTCAGCTTAAGATGAAGAGGAAAAGGTTTGCAATGTTTTCGAGTGATGCTTCCTCAGGTCTAGTCATTCTTTCCATCTCTACAGGAGATGGAGTCTTGTAACTGAGATTCCAGCCCAACCCTCTGCAGGGAGGAGTGGACTTGGGCTGTGCCAGTAAAAACATGTAAAAAAATCCAACAGTGCCTTTCAAAGAACTGTGAATGTGATGCTGATTGTCAAGGGCTATGGGAGAGCTCTAGCTAATGAAAAATGTTGAGTGCTCCTCCCTACAATTAGACTGGTTGATGCTTTTTAAATTTAATTCAGATTTTTTATACTAATCTCAGCAGCTGACCCTGTCAAATTGTTGAGAATAGGTGGTCTAGCTATTTCTGGGTACAGCACATGAAATATTCCACCTGGCTCTAGACCAAGTCTCTGCTTTATGAGAACTCGAAGAGCTACGAACTGCACTTGAAATTATTAATGCATTTGGAGGGTATTTTATGTAAGATTGTCAGGGTTGATCACTGAGGTTCATTTAATTCCCCAGGATTTCCTGTTATGACCTACAGCACTCCAGGCTTTTAAAATGTTTATCATCATGTTATTTCATCTAAGGAAAAGTTCCCTGCCTCTGCAGGGTTAAAATAGAGCAAAATATGATGGTGGTGTAGAATTGGAAGGAAACCTGTCAAATGTAGACTACTAAAGGCTGTCAGGAGGCTTTTGCTTCCTACTGGATCAGGTGCAGAGGATGCACTTCTGTTTCTAGATGTCTTGTTAAATTCCTTCTTTTAAAGGGAAGAGTAGCACGCTGAGAACTGCAAATCAGGTAACACTTTAAAGAACAGACGTTGCTGATGGCTGGCATTTAAAACACAAACCCACCAAACTGACATACAGCTTTATCACTATCAGCTTGAGCAACTAAAAGGGAGAGAGAACCACTGCATCTCTGAAAGGCTGACAAGATTGAGTGTGCAGAAGAGTATTTGATGTGATGTAATACAGATTTCTGCCTTCAGATTTCTCGGTGTTTTTGTGGGAGTTCTCTGTGGAACGGGGCTTTGTGTAGAATGGAGCTAGAAGGGGTCTCTAGAACGTTTCTTTCTGTTAACTTTCCAAACTGGGAAGTGTCCTGATCAGTAGCTGCCCCTCCATAACACATTCACCCCTTACAGTGCAATGCCATGTCTCGAAACACCCTGGAATGTGCACCAGGGAGAACTGTCAAGACCTCTGCCTTTTTTGGCAGGCAGGGAGGAGGCATCATCGGGTAGTTTTTTAGTCTGTTCCTGTGAGGAACAGGGGTAGCAGTGTTGGCTCTTGTGTTGCCCTCCTCTTTGCCCAAATTAAAGCCTTTTGAAAATCTGCTGCTTCTTTTTTACCAGTGCAGGTGTTTCTCTACTGATACACTGGGTTTGGACTGGCACCCAGATCATTTGGCTCTATAGTTAATACACTGCCTGTCAAATAAGGTAACAATTCATCTTTGACTGTCTCTTTTCCTTTGGTAGCAGGGTGCTGAGGGAGAAATCAAGGATGGGGTCACAGAAGGAGGACAACTTCAGCAAGTGCACAGGAATCCTACTACCTACCGGCCCCGCTACCGCAGGTTGGTGCCGTTTCCTTTGCTTGGAATTCAGGTGCTTGTATGTCCTACACAGCCCTCTAAGAGCAGGGACACTTGTGCAAATGGTAGGGACAGTGAGAAGCACTTTAATTACTGGGAGAAAGGTGAGCCACAGAAATGAGGAAACTGGAGAATTTGTTAAATGTGCTTATATATTGTTTGGAGACATACTGGCCAAAGGAGGGCAAAGAATTCATTGTATCCCATTGCTTCTCACAGTTGAAATGAGGTGCAGGGTCCGTGTCATTTGCTGGGGCAGGGTGTGCTCTGTAACATTTCTCGTGGACTGCAGACAGTAGTTTATGCACATTGAACTCAGTCCTACATGTCACACAAGCTTGGTTTTATGCCCTGGTGCTACTTGTAGGTACAAAGGAAACCTCAGTATTCAGTAAAAGCAGAAGTTGTGTCCTACCTCTGACATGGGAGCATGTAATCTAATATAGTAGTACATCCTTTGTTAGTGGAGGGTATTGCTGTCAGTTAAGATGTAAATTTTGTGTTCCTTGAGAAACTCCTAAAGGAGAAGGTAACAAAACAGGATTATTGGAGTTAAGTCTTGCTAGAGCCTTTGGAGAAAAGGGGTGCTAAAGAGCCTGGAGAACTTCCATAATAATAAGAAAACTCATAAAATGATTGAAGGGGAACAAATGTGTGAAGAGTGAAGTGACTGAGAACTCAGAGGCTGGGAGAAGAGACAAATGAAGGTGGATTACAGAGGTCCTCGGAGTAATGAGTAGCATGGAAAGGATGGCACAATTGTTCTTGTTCTTCTGATAAAAGAGTGTGCTATGAGGAGCCTTCAAGTGAAGGAAGTGGGAGACCTGCTGAAAAACAAAGTGAGGTTCATTGAACTGTAGGACAGGCAAGGTTAGAAGGGACCTCAAGATTCCATCTGGTTTGTTCACATCTCTCTGCTGCTCTTGACTCTGGGGGTGCAGCCCAGGGCCCATTTTGCCTTTGCTGCACTGGTGCTCTGCTGACTCATGCTCAGGTTGCTGGCTCAGGTTGTTGGGCAAGCAGCAGATTGCTGGAGCTTTTTCATGCCACAGGATGCTGATGATGTTAAAAGCTTCCGTGAGCTTGGGGGAGACTGGTGAAATAACTAAAGAAAACAGCATTGTGATCTCTCTGGAAAGGCAAAGTGTATCTGGCTCAGGAAATCCCCAGTGAGGGAGCCAATGGGAGGCTGGCAGGCAAAGACCCAGGAGTGGCTGACAGGTGAAGTGAGGTTCCCGAGGGTTGTACCATTAATTATTAGGCCTGGGCTGGAATACAGCCACACCAAGGCTAACACAGCAAATCAGCCTGTGTGGCCACTGCTGGCTTGTTCCTTCTCCTAGCCAGCAGTTCAAATGATAACTACAGCTTTGGTGTAGGATATGCTGATGTATCTTCAGCAGTGAAGAGACACCCACCTTGCTTGTCTTTCCTCTTCAACCCTGTGCCAGTCAAACCCCAGAGGGATGGTTTGCTCACACTGGAGATGGTTTAAGGGTGGAATTGGTTATGGAAGGCTTTGCTGGGATAAAATTACTGTAGTTTAACCTTCTTGGGTATCTTTCATGCCTAACACCTGGTTCTGCCCCTCCTCAGAGGGCCCCCTCGCCCACGCCCTGCCCCAGCCACCGGGGAGGCCGAGAACAAGGAGAACCACCACGAGGCCAGCGCCATGGGCCAGCAGCCCCTTCGCCGCGGCTACCGCCGCCCCTACAACTACCGGCGCCGGCCCCGTCCTGCCAGCGCTCCAGCTCAGGAGGGCAAAGAGGTAAGGCCAGCAGGCTGCCAGAAGGATGGATGGGGCAGCTCTGCTGGGAGGAAGGTCTGGGAGGATTGGGGCTGCTCAGCCTGGAGAAGAGAAGGCTCCAGGGTGACCTGATTGTGGCCACCTGAAGGAAAGATGGGGCAAGACTATTTCCAAGGGCCTGGAGTGACAGGATATGGGGGAATGGGTTCAAACTGCCAGGGAGTAGGTTTAGGTTGGATATTAGGAAAAAATTCTTCCCTGTGGGGGAGGTGAGGCCCTGGCACAGGTTGCCCAGAGAAGCTGTGGCTGCCCCATCCCTGGAAGTGTCCAAGGCCAGGTTGGATGGGGCTCTGAGCAACCTGGGCTAGTGGGAGGTGTCCCTGCCATGGATTGAAACGAGATGATCTTCAAGGTGCCCTTCCAACCCAAACCATTCTGTGATTCTATAAGTCTATGTGGCAGAGACTGAGGTTCTGGTGGGGTGAATGCTCAAGACCCTCTCTCCTATATGAGTTTTTGATAAGTGTTTTGTTTCTGTGCTGTGTGACCAGCTCTGAAGTGCTGATTTCCCTGCCTGCTTCTGACCCTCTTGGAGAATGAGCAGCTTATCTTAAATGGAACTGGCAGTGGGATAGGGATTGCTTCTGGAGAGTCCTTAATTGGGGTCAGACTGTAAGGTCAGGCTGTAACAACTGTTTTTGAAGTGCAGAGAAACCAGTTGTATTTTCCAGCTTCCTCAAACCCTCAGTCTGTCTGTAGTATAAGAGATGGGTTTGAAAGCTCTAGGTCCATTTCCTGAAACTGCTCGGACCAGACCATTTCAGGAAACTGTTTGCAAACCAGATTTTACCTAAACAAGGAAAGATTTTCTCATTCTGTGTCTTCTTGAGGTGTGCCCCTGACAGAATCTGCTGTGAAATAATTACAGGAAACACACTTAACTTTACAAGATTACAAAAATAAAAATTACAAAAATGACAAGAAATACACTGATATTAATTTTCTGGGGATTCATTTTTCTTGATTACTTTAAAACCTTTATGCTGGCTGTGCCACTGAATAGAGGAAGGGTCTGGAGGTTGGTCTTTGCCTCTAATCAGGGTTTATTGTGTCTCAGACAAAGGTAACTGAACCACCTGCTGAAACTCCTGCTCCAGTGACAGAGCAGGGTGGTGCTGAGTGATGCCCGGCTCCCCAGGCACCTGTACCATCCCTCAGGTAAGGAACATGGATAATTGCTGTTTGCCAGCTGAAGCAGAGTTGTGTGTATTCCCAGGACTTGGCCTCTGGCCACGTGCCCTTATGGCCTGATGTTTGTGATAAGTTCTGGGAGTGCTCTGTAGCCAAACCAAGAGCAGTTTGCTGCTTTTCTCTTCTTTCTCTCCTCTCCTCTGTGTCTGTATTTGTCACAGAGTAAGTTTTGCTTTATAACTGATTTTTTTTCAGAAAGCTCTATCTGGTCTATATAGTTACAGCATCTGCTGCTAATTAATAATATTTCATTTTAGGAAGACCCTGCATATGGACAGGATAAGCCAGTTGTCCTTATCCTGTCTGCTATAACTCATCTTGCCAAATTCAACAAGAAAATGAAACTTAAACTGCATTTTTATTTAGTTTTTTTAATGTGGCTCTTCAACAGGTGTCCTAAAATACAGCTCAAAAGTAACACCAAAGAAACACACAAGCAATAAATTGTCAACAGTGATGACCAGAGCGAAGATTTGACCTACGGAAATGCAAAAGGAAACAAAACTTACCAGCAGCTGAGATCCAGGGAACGCCTACAAGAGAGATGCATGAGAGAGAAAAGAGAGCGAGGTTCAGAAAGAACAACCTCCCTAGTTTTCAACAGCAACTGTGGAGCTTTTGTTTTTTGGGTTTTGTTTTTTTTTTTTTCCTAGAATTTCACTGTTTTGCTAGTAATGAATTTTTCAATTTTTCAATTTTTCTTTTGGTATCAAACTGAAAAGGGAAAAAAAAGCAACCAAAGAACTAAAAATTGAAACAAAAAATGCTTTTTTTTTATTGGATGCTGGTGCTAAACCTCCCAAGTGTGATGAGTTGTTTTTTTCTGTGCCAGTCCTGATCACTGCAGGACGTGGGGAGGAGAAACTTCCGCTTTCCTTGTTAAGATCTATTTGAAACTGTGCAGCATTGGGTGACGTTCCTCACAAATAAAAGTGATTTCAGTTACTCAAAGAACCTGTTTGAGTATGGTTTTTAATTTTACTTCTAAAACAATCCATTATTTTGTTGCTTCAGCCTTTCTGTGTGAAAGGGACTTGCCTCTTTGGTATGTCTTGATGTCTAAAACCATGCTGGGTGATACATGAGCACGGGTAGGTGGATAAACTTCAATCCAAAACAACTTCTGCAAAGAAATTACACAACAAGAGCTATAACCTGCACTGTCCCCTCTGCTCTTCTGGCTCAGATGACATTAAAGCTTGGATCTTCCTGTCACCATCTTGTGGCAGGAGTTTATGGGACGTGAAGTGAGTTCCTGGAATATTTTTCCTCATCTGTTTTGCTGGGCTTTTGTGTTGTGTAAACAGTAGGATCCAAAGTTTGAGACTCCTCTGCTGAGGAAAGACACACACCCAGTAACTGCCAGGCTTCTGCCCTGAACAATGGCAGTGTGTTTTATTGGCCTCTGCACTCCTCCTTACTTGAAACCAGTAAAATCTCTGTACCTGTGGCATCTTGTGTTAATAAGTAATTTACTGTCTTACTAATAATGTCTGTGCTTTTCTAAGGTTCCTCCCTAAAACTCTGCTGCCTTGCAAGTGTTATCAGTCCACTTCCAGCTGCAGAATTTCTTCAGATATCTCGTGTCCTTCACTCCCCACTCCACCACTTCTCACGTTCCTGCCTTGCAGCTGCTGTTGGCCAAACCTTAGATAATGTATTTGTTTCCCTAAAACACCCCTTTCTGTTCTTAGCTGGGCAATCTTTGTCCAGGCTTCACTGAACAACACTTGGTCTGAGCAAGGCTGTAACTGTGCAGATACAAGACTAAATGAGAGTGGAGAAATGGCTGGCTCTTTGTCCTTGTCTCTTCTAGTTTCCCTGTTCTTGCTCCCTGTTAAAAGTTTTGTTCAGAACGAAATCTATTTCAGGCAGACTGGGGAGAGGTTGGAAATTTCATCATAATAAACAGGTGCAAGGTATTTGTAAATGCTGAGCCATGACTGAAGAATTTGTCATAAAAACTACTTGAACTGCCTTCAGTTGTTCAGAAGTAGGTGTTTTTTATCTGAAGTGAGATTTGACAGGCCAAAGAGAATTTTCTTCATCTCTGCAAAAATGTAGGTCAGATTGAATTAGTTTAACAAAAGTACCTAACTCTAGTCATTGTTGTTTTATGAAAGGAGAAAGGAGGGAAAAGGCAAGGAGTGTCCTGGAATCTAGTTCTATTTGTTATTTCTGTCCTGCCTCTGTGATAAGAAGAATCTTTGCATAAAACAGGAGCAAGTGACTGACATAACCCACTTCATCCCTGAATTCCTGCTTATGACAATACAGGCTTAACTCAAGCACTTACTAAGATGACAGTTTAGATGTCTTGGGCTGGGCATAAATTATGTTCCTCTACTGGGCCACTTGAGCTCTTGTTACTTGAATTTGGCAGAAAAAAATATGAAGCTGGTGCTCAGTAATGAGGTTTGGTTCTCTTGGCAACTGTGGTGTCTTTGTGCCTTAAGCAAGACTATGAGCAGAATTTCAGATGAGTGCTTAGTTTGTGTTTGGTTTCTTAAAAAGACATTTGGCTACATGGATTTTGAATTTGCAGAGTAGTTAACGTGCTTTTATACCTACTTGGAGCCACTTCTATATTGTAATCATTCTACACTTTAAACTTTTGTGCTGTTTACAGTAGTGGAGCAATGCTCCTGTGATTTGATTTGAAGTCCTAGAGCTTGACAGTGATGCACTGAGCAGAAAATCGATCTTGATGACTTAATACCACCAGCTGATGAGATGAATAATTACCTTCAATACCTTAAGGTTTCAAGATGTGACAGAAAAGACCTACCCAAAGTTGTCGCCGAGTTTGGAGCTTCATTTATTTCCTGACTAATGTCAAAATGCATCATCATTCTTCAGTGCTTGGCTATCGGTTTGGATTTGTAAATTGTGACTTTACTAAGACCACGAAGGTCTTATAATTAATCAGCAATTTTAAGGAAAATTGGCTGTAAAGTACATGTCTGTAGTACAGAAAGCGACCTGCTCTCAAAAAATTTGGTTAAATGTGTGGAGCCCCATGTAGTCTTAAATGAGTGGTGTCAGCCTAACTCAACTCGAGCTGCACCTCAAGTTACAAACTTGTGCTGTTTTAATATGTTAAGTACAGCAGTTTGGTGGTGAGTCAAAATATGCTTTGTACAGTGTATCTGTAACAGCCAGTTGGTTTCCAAGGTCCCTGTTCTGTGCTTTCTGCTCATTGTGTTGGTGTAGCCAATTCTTTTCACTTATATTATACAATACTCACATTTTTGTCCATGATTTGGAAGTGCTGTTAACAGTTTTCTTCTGAGTCTTGCCCTTCTCCCTTTAAAATATTCTGTGTAGAGTTGGTGTATACAACAAACTGTGTGTAAAATCCCAGCAATTTCACAACCATAGGATGTATCCCAAATTTGGCATGTGAGCTTAAACAGTCACTAAACCAACCTGCTCTAACTAGCATGTATGTCAACATGCCTGTATTTGTCCTGGAATATAAAAATTCTCCCTATTTCTATAGCTGGGGAGATGCCATGTGTCCTCTTTAGCCACTATTTAACTCCCTGAGGAGAATTTTTCTAGTTACCAGCAGAACTCAATCCATGGGTGAAATCACATTTCAGGAAAAATGGCTGCACTGAAATTTTGAATTTATGCAAAAAGCTAAAACAGCTATTCTTCTTGAGCCTTTCTGAGATGATTTTTTAATACAGAATTACGGAGTGAAAGCAATGTAGTGAAAGGTACCAAAGTGACAACATGCCATTAAAAACCCTCCAGAGATGAATCAAAGTGAGTTTCCTTGTGCTGCTCTGCCAGTTTGCCCTCCTTTGGTGGCAGTGGAAACCTATGTGGAAAGTCAAGAGCAGAATTCAAAGTTTGTTCCTTACCATTTGTACCTCTAGAAATATTTGGTAGCATTTAAAAAAAAAATTACTTATTTTTCACTTCAGTGGATAAACATTCTGTGTGAAATGGGATCAACCCATCTCAAAATATACATAGTCTAAAAATCAAGCAAACTTTTGATAGATCATTTAGATGGGATTTCAATCATTACCTCTTTAAGGGAGGTGGAGATACTTGCTACATGGTGCTTACTTTCTAGTTAAAAGAGACAGATTTGAATGCAAGGGAAGATCCTCCTTAAAACTTGTTGCACTGACTTCCATCTCAGATAAAATATTTATGTACAACTGCAAGCCACGAGGTGGTGCTCTCAATCCACTTAAAAAATAATTTTTTTGGTCCTTTTTTATATTTGCACAGTAGGAACATATAGAGGAAAGCATGTTTTATAACTTGGTTTGGTTTCTGCAGCAATCCCACTACACAGACTGCAGTCTATAATGGTAAAAAAGTTTTACTTAAACATTTAAGTCATGCTACCCTTCAGAGGGTTTGAGAAGAACAATCTTTCTGGGAAAACCAGTTCAAAGAAATGGTTAAAAATCCAGTGAAACAAAATGGAACACCTACAGATGAGCTACCTGAATAATGAAACTCTGGAACTGAACACCTGGATGGCAACCGTACATCCGACTGACTCAGTCTAGAGTGTCACCTGTTTTTCATTTGGAAAAGTAAGTAATTCCTCAGTTTTCCTTGACAGGCATGGGGATGGTCCACTACACCAGCCCTGCTCCCCACCCACAGTGTGCTCAGGTCTCAGAGAGTTCTGGTTATACTGAGGATGAGGAGTGTGAACTTCCAGGAGGAAAGGCACCGAAGGCGTGTGAATGGTGTGTGCAAACACTGCAGGGGTCACTGATGGGCCACACAGAAATAAGCACACTGTTACCTTTTGCCTTCAATAATATAAATATATCTGTGTCATCTCATTAAATGCTTCCCTAGATGTTTACTTATGAGTTCTTAGCATGGTGAAAGCCAATCCCTTTTCCACAGTGGCTGTGAAACCTCCGCGGCTGGCAAATAAACAGAGCGATTTCCCAAGGCTCTGCCAGCACGAGAGAATTCAGTTTATTCCTCTTCACCTCTGGATTCCTTTAGCACCTCTTGCCACTTCCTCCCCACCTGTTCTTTGCACCTCAGGAAGGCATCTTCCAGGTGCTTCATGGAGCTGGCCAGGTCTGGGTTGGTGTGGATGGTTACGATGCCGTAGGTCATCCAGGCTGCACGAACTGCAAACCCAACAGACATCACTAAGCCAGGGATTTTCACTTAAAAAAAAGCAGTGGCTGATTCAATATACAAAAAAAAGGATGTGAATTATTTATCAGTAAGGGAAGGCTTTGCTGCAAAATAAAGTGGAAACTGCCTGTAGTAATACTCAAGGTTAAGGAGGCTGGTCAGTATTACTTCTTTATAAATGTCTCAAAGTGCTTCATGACGGAAGTACAGTGATGTAAATGATGAAATAGTTTCACTAATACACACTTCACTTAAAAATTACAACAAAACAGGCAATCAAATAGAAAGGTTCAACAGACTGGTTTAAAATACATGAATATTATATAAGGAGTCCTCTCTCCAGACCAGTTACAGCCAGGAGGCTCCTGTTAGGTGAGGAAGACTAAGATCAAAGAGACTGCAACAGCGAGAGAAAAGGTTTTAATAACAACTTAAACAATGAAATCTTGATCTTCAAATAGTGAGTAACTTAAATAGCAAAATTGATTTTGAAATAATGAGTATATCTGATAAAGGTGAGCAAACAGTTTTAGCACTTAAGCCATACTTGCCCTTTTGTTTTACCCAGAAGCGACTGTAGTTTGTGATGGCACTCTTGAATTGTTTACTTACAAAAAGTTCAATTAACAGTTCTTGTTAGCAGCACACAGTTTCTGATGGAAATGTTGCAGAGCATGGGGAGCAATATGCAGTCCTCTCTGTATAAACAGGACTAAGGTTAAATTTGCAGAGGAGTCTTTATTGTAGCTGAGGAATTAAACCTGAGAGGTGCTATGTATCTATCCCAATGTTTTTCAGAATTAAGTCTCATTTTACATACTAAGTTTTAATACTTGTACATTAAACACCTTAGTAGTATTTCTGTTTTTAACTAAGCATCCATTACCTATTGATTTTTAATTCTGAGCCACCTGAAACTTTTATTTACATGCTTTTTCACAATTAAGAACATTAGGGCATTAGTTGATGGTGATTGTTTCCACTTACATTTCTACCTCAAGGAAGTTTACAGAATAAATATAAATAATAAGCCTTCAGTGTCTTCACTCTAGTAGACAAATCTGTATAATTCTTAATAAGGATCTGTACCTACCTGTTATTTTTTCCATTTCCTCCAGAAGTGTTTCTAAGTCTTTGTTGCACTTCTCCATCATCTCTATTGAGTTTTCACAGTTTTCTTCCTGAGGTTCTGCTTCAGCCATCTACAAGGAAACCAGGAATTTTGTACTTTATTTGACTCTAAAGTGAGTTATTTTCACAGCTGAAAGTAACATTGCACTAAATTAAAAAAAAAAAAAAGGTGTATACATTTTGAATTTACATGTGAATTCAGCAGGAATCTGACCTTGAAGTTACTGACCATCACCTGTATGCTGCATATTATTTCCATCCATTTTGAAATTAATTTAAGTAGAAAGAATTATACTCAAATATGCTGTTGTTTGTGCCAAATAAAGATTTTTGGTGTCAGTAATGACAAGGATCACTGTGTCAAACACTTCATTAGCAAACCCTCTGTCACCCCGTTACAGTTGTCTTCAAGCTTCTCTCCCAGATACTCTGGCCAGGGGCAATTCCTAATTTTCAGTGAGTTGTAAAATCCCCATTTATAACCAGTATTTCACCCTTGCAGGCTCCAGCCAGGTGAGTAAATACACTTCAGTTCTGTCACCGCGTTTAAGTGCTTACGATTTCCTGACCTTTAGGTTGTAGGGAGTGAAATTTCAGGACGTAAAAACGCCCGGGGCAAAAACAAACGTAGTTTTAGAGCCGACAACGCGACACAAAGCATTGGCTTTAATTTAATTCTCTGAAAACCACCGACGGATGGGATGGAACCGTGACGAAGGAGATGGAAGAGGGTCACTGCAGTAACTACATACATCACATAGCAGGCACAGTTTTTGTCAGAAACTCAGTGTGTGGGTGTGTTTTCTGCTTTTTTATTGCCGCTAAAGGTGGGAGGGACGCAATGGACTGTTTGCAATGGCCCCACAGCGTTTCCAAGCGGTGCCAAACCTCACAGACGCTGGGGCGCTCGGGCGCCGCTTCACACAACCGCTCCCATGGCGAGCCCTGTACGCCAGAGACCTTACAAACCGCGACCCCCCGCCTTTACCACACGCTCCGGGCACGCTTTGACCGCCCGGCCAGGCCGGGGACGAGCCGCGGGACGAGCCCCGGCCCACCCCGGTCCACCGGCCACCTCACGGGCCCGGGCGGAAGCCGCGGCCCCCCGCCTCACCCGGGGGGCGGACCGGACGGGGCCCATCAGCCCGCCCCGTCGCGCTGCCGCCGCGGCGCGCTGATTCTGTGTTTCACGAGCACAGGGTGAGGAGGCGGGCGGCCCGCGGGGGAAGGAGGCGGTGCGGCGTTTCCGCGGCTCCGTGCCGGGCGACCCGTTGCCGGGCCGTGTCCCGGCTCCGTGCCCGGCCGTTCCCGGTCGTGCCCGGGCGGTCCCGGCTCCGTGTCGCGGCTCCGTGTGCCAGCTCCGATGCCCCGCCAGCCCCCCTTGCCGCGCAGCCGGCTCCGAGCCGCGTCACGGCCCCTCAGCCGCCCCACATCGCCGCCAGCCCCGCGGCACGGCCGGGCAGCGAAGCCGCGGCGACGCTTGTTTGCGGTTTCAGGGGTTTTTCGTGAAAGCAACCGAGAAGTTGCGTCTTGTCCCTTTAAAGTTTGCAAGCTGTTCTCCTACTTCTCCTCTCAGGGAGTCTTTACCTCCCCGCCTACGTGATGGGGAGAGGCTGCAGAGCGGGGGCTGCAGTGGCAGCGCAGGGAGCAGCAGTTTTAGGGTCTGTTTAGGTTAGATAATAATAAATACTTCACAGTGAGGGTGGTGAGGCACTGGAGCAGATTGCCGCGAGGAGCTGTGGATGCCCTGTTGGAAATGACATAACTTTCCTAAGTATTTTCTTAAATTTTTAGCTCATGGTAGCGGGTGGCTGGGTTTCTTTTCCACAGGCTCCTGTTGGTGTGATCTTTAAAACAGCCGAACCTTTTGAGTTTCTCTGGACTGGCCCTGATGAGCTTCAGTAAATAAAGCTTGAGGGAGTTGAGGGCTGGACATCTGGGATCTTAAATTTATGGTCCATGTTGGAGCAACCAGAAGATATAGAGGGGGTTGATTAACAAAGACATTACAGCCGCGAGTTGGAGACTTGTCTGAGGAAGATAGAAGGACCAAAGAATGCAGATCAAATTAGCCAAGAAAGGATAGAATACTAATCAAATGAAGAGAACTGTGTAACTTAGAAACAATAAACGTCAGTTTCTTTGTTTGCTAAAGTGTATAAACATGTGAAAAGTCTTCAAAGGGACACAGGTGGCTGGAATGATTCGCTGCATGTCTCTGGCCAGAATCAAGTAATGCCTGGCTCACTAACACTTAAAAGGTAGTGTTGGAGAGTTTAGTTTCTTCCCGAGGATTTTTGGTAACATTATCTCCCTGCCAACATGATGGAGAGAGACTTTGGGGCCTGCAGTGACAGGACAAGGAGAGACAGCTTTACAGCAGAAGAGAGTTGGTTTAGATGAGATGTAAGGAAGAAGTACTGTACAATGGGGATGGTGAGGCCCTGGCACAGGTTGCCCAGGGAAGTTGTGGCTGCCCCATCCCTGGAAGGGTTCAGGGTCAGGCCAGATGGATAGTGGAAATTGTCCCTGCCCACGGCAGAGGGGTTGGAGCTGGATGGTCTTTGAAGACCCCCTCCCAAACTGTTCTACGATTCTGTTATCTTTGCCTTTATTAAAAAAAAAAATATTGGAGAAGGTGTTTGCAGGACTAGGCAAAATCAAGTTAGAAATTTTCTGGAGAATGAGCAACAAGACTCAAAGTTTGAGAAGAGTTTGCTGATATTAGGAATTACCTTCCGTGAATTGTCCATGCCCCAAATCACGTCCCATTCCAGATCAATATCCAAACCTTAAATGGTTTGGGCTGTCTCTTGTTCTCCTTTTTCATCCACCAACGCAAACTCTGTCCTGTTTTCAAATTATTTTATATATTAGTATTCTTATCATGCAGCAAACTTGCTCATCTCTTGCAATCACCACTCAATTCGCTGCCAACTGGTGACAACCCACCTTCAAAATAAACAAAATGAAGTATTTATTCCCCCAAGTTACATGAATGCTGTATAATTTATGAGCATTTTGTTGCTAAAGTTTTGCTGGGGTTCAAAATCAGTTGAGTAAAATCCTTGTTATGTTGTTACAGTGTTTTATTTCCCCAGACAGTCTCACTGCCAGCTGTCTGAGGCACAGGTACTGGGTGTTTAGGTCATTAGAGGTCAGGTTTTGCCAGGAAGAGCTGTTGGGTTATCACTGAAAAACATGAACAGTGTGGAAATGTGGTGGTGAAGAGAAGCAACTTAAGAGGAAAATTTATATATTTAACAGAAAGAAAAAAAGTGCCAAACCCCTGAATAGAGAGGAAGTGCTGGCAAACTACTGAGCCTTCACCTGGCTGATGAAAATTGATGCATAATCATTCAGTCATTTCAGTTTTATATGGAGAAGCTATTTTTTTTCTTTATTTCTTTTCATATAATTCCTACCCCTTCCTAGGCTTTGCTCCTTTGGAAATGTTAAATAACAACTGCAGGGATGAACTGAAAATCACACTAGAATTGCCATTTTCAAGATAAAAAAAATTTAGACATTAAATAGGCTAATTAATTTTTCTCAATTAAGAAGACCTGCTATCTTGAGAGGCAAAGCTCGTGAGGCAGAACAGAGACTTGGGATGGTGATGGGAAGGTTTTTTTGTTTTCACTTTTAGATCATTCGTTCTGATTCTTACCCCAGTCAGGGATTAATAGCTGGCTTGCAGAACCTTTCAGCCTCTTGTGATGTCCCACCCTTAAGGGGAAGGGAGCACCCAAGGTTTGTAAATGCCTGTGGTCAAAAGGAACGACAAAAGTCGGAGGGTCCACAAAAAAACTCACTAAATTTTATTAGTAAATTACACACTTGGCTTGGAAATTGGTATGTGAGTCCCTGACATACTATATAAGCACATGGCAGTGTGGTTTGGATGAAGGGGTAAGATAAAAAGGAAGAGAGAAAGAAAGAGATGAATTAAAGAGGAAGAGAGAGAGAGAAAGAAAGAAAGGAAAGAAAGAAAAAGCAAGAAAGAGAAAAAGAAAAAAGAAAAATGAAAGAAAGAAAAAAGAAAGAAAAGACAGAAAGAAAAGAAAGAAAGAAAGAAAGAAGAAGAAAGAAAGAGAGAAAGCTCCTTATCTTCTGGGATTCTACCCCTCTGTGGGCTTAGGTTGACCAAAAGATCAGTCCCAGTCCATCAGGTTTAAGCCACGGTTTTAAGTCTTACATTAGAGCGTGAAAGTAAGTGAGAGATCTCACAGCCTCTAAACTACTGAAGTAAAAGTGAACAAACACCACGATGACATTTAACAAGGGGATCCTTTCACCTGAAGTTTGGTTTCTTTCTGGTCCAGTAGCAGTTACTTGGAGCATGCTTAGTTCTGGAAGCTGAACTGCAAAATTAGCACCCCTGTGCTAATTTTAATTAACTGTCCCTCACACAGGACAAAGACTGGATGGTTTGTGGTTGAATTGCTGCTTGGTCCCAGAACCCCATCAGTGTGTGGATGGTTTCTAGGTGTGCTATAGCTGTCTTGGAGATAAAGAGGATGGGTATGTTAATAGAGCTGTCAGTCTGCTGCCTTTCAGTGCATTTAATCATAATTGTCCAAGGAAAAAGCAGAGAGAAGGACAGAGGCAGCCAAACAGGCAGTGTGTTCTTTGTGGATGCACAGGCAATACAAGCCACAGCAGGAAAAGTTTGTTTTTCACAGCACAGTAAATGACTTCTGTCACTTCACTGAACAGGGGGAGAGGCTTGTGGATGAGCAAGGAAGATTATATAATTCCGAGGCCTGAACTCTGAACTGCATAATCTTAAACTCATTAAAATCTCTTATCCAACCAGTCAGACTGGGAGCACAACAGAGAGATCGATGGGGGGAATTAAAAGCAGCAGCGATTGCTGCTTTGCACATGCTTACCTGAATATTAACCCTTTGCCTTCCCACACTGTCTTCCACAGTGGGGAGGGGTAGAAACTGAAAGAAGGAGGAAGATTTTAATTTACCATATTTTTAAACAGGGATCTGGATAAGTTTTTCCAGGTGCTCCCAGGGAAGATGCCTGTGGAACGCATTTCAGTAAAGAACTCATTTAAATGAGGAACTGTCCTTTGTGTTTTAGCCACTTTTTGATGGAGAATAAGACAGATCCCCTGCTCCCTCATGGAGAAAATACTGCAGAGAGTCAATGCAACTTAGTGCCAGAGTGGGAGGAATGCTGAACCCAGAGTCTGAGCCTACACTGTGCAGCTGCAGTGATGTTTTGAACTCAAGATGATTTTCAGTCTAGAAGGTGTCCTTCCTGGTTTCTCAGGGGATGGAAGTCCACATCACAGGACTTTCACTAATACTGTTTTGCCCACTTCTGTAGACAGATCAAGCAATGAAGAAACTACTCCTGGTTTTCACCATTTTGCACACGTGGGTAGTGAATGCCAGCTGGAGGAATAATGCCAGAGGGAAGTTTAGGATGTAGTGGTGTACAAGTATATTCATCTGCAGTCTCTCTTATGGGTAAATTAGCTATTGTCTTTTGGTATCTAAAGCTATTGACTCTGCCACAACTCAGATTTTCCCACAACAACATTCTTATATGCAGCCCCAGTGTTAACAGGAGTAGGTGAGTTTTGCTGAAGCAGTTGGCAGAGATCATATCAACTTCTGCCTCTTCCCAAAGCCACCTGCATCCTGCTGTTGACTGTGACATGAACTTTGTCTCTCAACAGTTGTTTACTCTTTTAATACAACTGCCTGGAGTAGGCAAGCAGATAATCTTGTGTAGACTCATATAACCAGGACTCAGGGATCTGGAACTCCTCACACAGGATTCATCAGTGACAGGGGAGGGCAGGCCAAGAGCTGGGACTTGCAGAAGAAAGTCCCCAGCACTAAAATGCTGAGAAGATCACACCCCACGGCTGCTGAGGGCACCAGCACAGCACAACAGACCCCAAGGGCATCATGGCAGGAAAAAGTCAGGGGGCAAGTTCAGGAATATTGTCTGGTCTGGTCTGGGAGCTCAGGATGGTGTGAGGAAAGAGCAGGGCAGAGCTGACTGCAGGGCTGGAAAATGCTGGCAGAATCCCTGGCCAGCCTGAGCAGGAGGGGTACCAAGGGACAAGGCAGAATGTGAGAAAAGCCAGCGTTCCTGCTGCCTCTTGTAGCACGTTTTGTTGTTATTAACCTTTTTATCTCTTTCTTCACCTGCAGATTGTGTCCCTGATGCTTTTTCAGCACGTAGAGTCTTTAGGGGTTTTATGTGGATTTTCTGTTCCAAGAACCCATTTTTTCTGAACGTGAACCTGTGACTGGAAGCGCCCAATTTCTTTTTATTACCTTAAATAATAATGTAATAAACCTCTCCCTCTTCACCCGTGTTTGTCTGCCTTTCCAGTCACACTCCAGGTCGGTGCCTGAGGACTCTGCCTGTCTCTGTACCCGCTGCAGGAGCAGGCAGACCCGTTTGGCAAGTGTGACCCTGCCTGTCAGCTGTGTGTTGGACATCCCTGGGGAGACAGCTGAGAAGACCTTGGGAAGAAAAGAACTGAAGCTGGGCGGGTCTGGGGCAGAAAAATCAGTGAAGGAGGAACTTAGTCATAAGAATTACAACCACACCAAGGTAATCATCAGCTTCGTTAGGAGTGGCCTCGAACGAACTGGGAACCAGCAGCAGGAAAAGACTCCTGCGGGGCAGGAGAAGTGGTGCAATCCAGGTGAGTGAGAGAAAACACTTCTGGAGGAGCAGTTAATGACTATTTATTTTTTAAAAAGGCTTTTAGTAACGTGAATGTGACCTGGATTAGAATATAGCTGTACCATGAAGTCTAGATGCCTGTGGATATATGTGTATACTATATATATGTGTGTATATCTGTATATATATGTGCTTACTCCTTGTATTGAAGTTACTTATAAATTTCTGTGATCATGACGGTATTGGGGTTTGAGGAAAAAAATAAGAGAGGTGTGTCCTCTACACGCAGGTTGATTTGAACAAAATAGCTTATGGGCACTTTTTAAACAGGAAGAAATTAACAAAGTAATTAAGTTTCATATAAAATTAGTCTCAGTTCACTGAAACGGTGCAGGGTGATGCTATGCATGTGTGGATAAATATGTTCAGTGTTTGGTTGAGTAATACATGCCTAGGGCTGAATTCAGAACTAATTAGCATTTTACTTCCATCACTGGTGCTTGATTGTGAGGCAGTGAACTCTAATCCAAAGTGGTGCAGATATCTATACATTTTCCTATGTTTACCTGTTTGCATGAGCAAAAATTAAATTATAAACAAAATCCATGTTAAATCCACCCAGAAACATCCAAAACTTGGGAAACTGTGAAGCTAAAGTTGTGTACACAGCTTCAGGTGGCTGTGAATTTATGAAAGCAGATTAATCTTCCATTTCTTAAGCCATTAAGCAGCAATGTGATGTTATGTAATATTTTTATCACACAGCAGGTTTTTTACAACAAGAGCTACGTGTATGCATGATCCTTCAGAAAAAACTCATTATTATATTCTGTCACAGCTTTTGCTGTCACAGTTACTCAGAATATCTGTATTGAGTTTGTGTTAGGGTTTGGTACAGGCTTAGTACCAGCAGCTCCCAGCAAAATCAGAGTTCAGTCTGTAAGGAGACATTTTCAAAAGTAATGTATGATTTTGACTTCACGAAAGGAAGTCATAGGTAAAACTGTGCTGTTGGGAGTTTAGCCTCTAGGCTTTTCAATCCCAGACTCTAAGGGCTTCAGGTTAATGTATTCCTCAGCTTTTCTTTTTATTATTATTATTTTAACTTATTTTGCAGATTACCTTTGAGCAAGTACTTTTTGTGGTCTTAATTCAGGGGCAGTGTAATTAAGATACATGTTAATTTTTCAGAAACCATAATAGGCCGTGTCTACATTAGGAAAAAATATTTTTGTCTTAATCACCATTCAGGTTCTGTTCCATTTCTGTACTTAGAATTCCTTACAAGGCACAAATAAATTAATTTTTGTGAGGTGATCTGAGTTTTTCTGCTGTATTGAAAAGGAGCCAAGTTGGCCCTAAGTAATCCACCTGCTCCAATAGCAGCATGGACCTCATTATTTGCTGTTTTCTCCATGGTCTGGCTCTTCAGAAGTGGTCAGCCTAATTTTCTTTCACTCCCTTGCTGGGCTTCTTCAGTAGCAGCTGGCCTGAGTTTGATGTTCAAGTACTGCCTCTAATTTTGGACCAAGAGAAAACCTTTTGTCACTGTAGGTGATTTTTGAAACACTTTGTTTTCTTACAGGGTGTTACAGCTGTTTCAAAAGGGAGTTATACAACTAAACCTTTGTAGCTGAGTGGTACAACCAGTACAGCCAGCCACATTTTTGTAATCCTTGGTCACAAGGACAGAGGTGACTCTGGTGTGTTATAATCTGGGCCGACTGGTCAGAATTTCCCGGTTTTTTCCCATTTCCCCAACACAGTTGAAGGTGCTGCTTGGTAACCCCCAGGTGCCTTGCAGTGAGAGATGAGATGGCTCCATGGGCCAGGGAAACCTTGCAAAGGTCTCAGGACCTGCCAGGCTGTTGGAAACAGTCCCTCAGGTCTTCTGGAGGCCAAAGAGACAGAATATGTGGTCTAACAAATGCACAGCTTTTTGTATCAAGCTGTTGGTCTTGAAACCTGTCAGACTTGTTTTTTATTTGCTTTGGATGCTGCTTTTAGTAAAAGAGGGACATGGCAAGGGGAGAAACCTCTGTTTCACTCTGTTTGCTTCTCCATGGCGCTTTTCCTCTCCCTCTTCTCTCCCTTTCAGTGTCCACAGCTGCTGGGCTGTCCTGAGCCCACACGTGGTGGCTCCTGGAATTCCCTTTCAGCCAGGAGGACACTGCACTCGTGCAGAGCAGTTGCCTGGGCCTTGACTGGTGCCCATGTTCAAAGGTCATGTAAAAGAGGAGGAAAATAATAAAATAAAATAATAAATGGTGACTGGAAAAAAGCTTGGGAGTAAAGTTCTACCACTGCAAGAAATTAAGTAGAAAGCATCGTGGTTAAGGGATTTATTTTGTCTTTTATCTGTCAGGCAATATGCTGGACTGAAGTGGGGAACTGCTCAGCTGTTCCTTAGTTATATTCCAGTTGGTCCTCACAATCAGTGCATGGAGAACAAGTGTAAGAATACTTTTATAATAAAGTGGTGTGCAGTTAATGTGGGATAGGAAGTCTGGAGAAATAACTGCATTAATTCCATGTCAGCTCATAGAACATTTTAAATGAAGATCCAAATGAGTGTTGGCCTTTATTTTTGTCATATTAGATTAGCCAGCTGTTTCTTTGGACAGAGTAGCTAATCATTGCACAAGGATTTACACGTTTGCACTGATGGTGGGAACTGCTGTTAGTTCACAGGTCAGACATGTTCAGTGGCAAAGCTGTCTTACTTACTGTGATTATGTACAGCTTATTTTCCTGAGCATGGCAGGAGCAAGCAGGAGGCAGTTTCTGCGTGTGCAGCATTCCAGCTGTCTGTTCCCACATATTCCATGGACATGGAAGACTTGATATTTCTATTTCTTTTCAGTCTTCACCACAGTATTTGTCACTCAGGCTTCTTAAATCTTAGTCCTGGCACTTTAAATAGCATAAACTGAGCCTGATGAGAACTTTAAGGCCATAAAATGTGAGAGAAAACAGGTTATTTTAGGGCAGATCACCTTCCTGATCCAGTGAATGCTTCTGCCAGTGCTAAGGGGACAGTTTACAAGTGGGAATGTATATATACCAGGGGGCTCTATAAATCATAGTAAGGGTTATGCTGGCACACAGTGCCTGTGGATCTGTGTGGGAATGGTCTCACAGTGCAGCTTCAGATGAATTAGCCATTCACCACCACTAAAAGGGCAGGAAACCACCATGGCAAAAGAAACAGTGTATTTTTCCTGCTGGGTTAGTGGTTTGGATCAGTCTACCATGTTATCAGTTGCACAGCTGGGAGCAAAACAAGGAGCGAGAAGAAAGCAAAGGGAAGAGGTAATCCCTTCTTTTGGCATCACTGAGCACTTAATTCAGCTCAGCTGCATTCACCTTCAATGTTTGAGCTTCCTGAACTGGTTTAAGCAGCCCCCACCACTGGAAATGTTCAAAGCCACATGTGCTGTGGCACTTGAGGACGTGGTTTAATGGTGAACATGGTGGTGGTGCTGGCTTGGCTGTTTGACTTGCTGATCTGAGAGGTCCTTTGCAACCTTAATGATTCTGTGATGCTGTGAAGTCCAGGGAGTGGCATTCAGTGTAGGTAAAAGAATACTAAAAAACCCCAGTGGAACCAGCTGGCTCTTACTTGCAATTGCACCAATTCTCTAATGCAAAGTCTGAATTTGAACCTTTTGAGGTGTTTTTGTCCCCTTTATCCTGGCTTGGTGCTGACAAACTGTCTTCTTATAATAAAATAAGTAACTGAGCACTGTTGATGTGATTCCTGCCATGTGTTAGTTCCACATAACTTTCATGTGTCCCCTACTGGTACACTGCAAAAGGTATTAAATGTATAATGGGAGTTCTGTGGATTTCTGAGCTACAGTTGGATTTCTGAGTTACAATTCTTGTTGTGAGGATAGGAATGTAAGAACTGCAGTAATGTTACTGTTAGACCAGTAAGCTGCAGAAAAAGCCCAAGTGTGAGAATTCATTTAGTCTCAGCCTGAAAAGCAGCACTGAAAGGCACCTCAGAATTATCTTATTGAGAACAAGTTCTGTTCCTGCTTCCTGAGCTTTACAAAATGATGGGACACATGGAGTGGAAATGGGCTTCTCTAATCAAACTTGGAGCTTGGACTGTTTATGACTCAAATTATACATTGATTGCTGGCTAATGGTCCTAAAGTCTATTTCTCTGTGTCTGTTCAGATGTGTCTTTCTTGTCTCTGTGTATGTGAGAGTGAGAGAATTTGTGTGTAAGTGTGTGTATGTGTTATAGGTTGGAACCAGGTGAATTTGCTGGCATATCAATCCAATCCAATTAAATAAAAAAAGGAGAGAGAATTTTTGTGATACCTTAAAGCACAGATATATTCCATTTTCCTCTGTCCACTGCCTCTGTTGTGCCACTGATACAGCATAATTTCACTCGTTAATTTTAAGCATGAGAACAAACTCTGTTTAATGTTCCATCACCGAATTCCATAAAACCAATGCCATATATTGTCATTAACATTTGCCATTGAGGTTAATTGCCTTAAACTCATAGCCCAAAATAATTGCTTGCAGGATAAGTCACAATGCCTGTGAAATGTTCTGGAGGATACTGTGTGTGAAGCTGTTATGTCTTAAATTTTTGGCAGTGTTTATAAGCAGCAGTGACTATATGTACATGCCTTGCCTTTCTGTCAGTCATCAAACTATTCACTGCACTAATTTTTGCAATTTAGAAATAGCAGTCCAGGTCCTCTGATGGTCAGTGCAGCACCACACAGACTGTCCCTATCACAGCTTCAGTGCTCAGTGAAGATTATTATAAGGGGTAGAAAGCTGCATATTCAGTTCATTTGTTGCTTCATAATCATCCTTTCTCCTAATAAATTTTGTTATTATTCCTTGTCTCTGTGCAGAAGGCAGAGGTTGGAGACCTCCTTGCTTGTAGCTGAACATGGCAGGGGATGTGAAGAGGTTCACACGAATGCTCCTGGAATGCAGCAGCAATGACAAGCTGTGTGGTAAGATTCCCAGATTCCTTTGTAATAATAAAGCTTATTAATAGTTTAATAATAAAGCTTATTAACCTTTATAATAGCAAAGCTTTCACATGCTGAGCAGGGAGTCCACCTTTGCTAAAAAGTGGACCAAGTCCTTTCCCCTCCTCCACCTGCCTCCCAGCCCACACAGAAAGCTGGGATTGAGCTTTCATTGTGTCTCAGGGGAGAAACTTTTATGGGGGTGCAGCCTTTGTGGCAGGATTCATCTCACATCATTTTGGCCATTTGTCTAATTTGAATTAGACATGCAATAGTCATTAAAGGTTCCCTGCAGTTTCCCAAAGGGCCAGTTTTGGGAGATTTTGATTTCATGACTTTCTGGCATCTTTGGGAACTGAAATATGGTCTTGGCCTGTGCAAAAATAGCACCACCTCAAAATCTGGGGACCTAAGATAGTTCCCTTCACAAGCCTTTTTATCTGCAACGTCTTCCAGTCAAACCCCAAAGCAGGTGCCCACACCCTGTTTCCTTTAAAATGCTCCGTGTAATTTTAATGGAAGGAGCTGGAGCTGGAGCTGCGTGTGTTTTTGTGATGGCTTAGCAATGTCCAGCCCTTCCCACTCCCTGCTGTCCCTCTGCCAGTGCTGGTTCTCTTTCAGTGGTGGATGGTGCTTACGAATGGGTACAATTCCATTCAGGCATCTAAATAAGGGATTCCAGGCAGTTTTGAACAAGGGGGTGGCAGCACTAACAGTGTCCAGCTGCTCTTCCAAGGAGCAGAGGTTGGAACACGTGCTCTTGGGGTTGAAAGTCACTGAGATGGATTGTCACCACTTATTCCTTGGCTTTCCATGTGCTCTCCCTGCTGGCAGTTGTGCGTGAATATCAACCTGAGGTGATCGTTGTCCCAGTTCTCCTCGTGGGGGCTTTTGTCATCGTGCTCACTGTGATCCTTTGGCTCCACTGTCGAGGCTTGAGAGCAAAGCAGGAGCAACCCCCCCCACCATCTGGAACCCAAGGTAAAAACCAGGGCTTTCAACCAGAGGTTGGTTGGACCAGAGTATGGATAGCAGCAGTATAGATGGGTCTGAGGAAATCTAAAGCACCATGTCATATAGGCTGTTTAACATACACGTGAGAGCTGGGAGGTGTATTTATTAACAGCCTTCTAGAGGCTACTGCAAGGAGGGTTTTACATAATTAATTATGAATGGCAGTAATTTTGATGTAGATCACATCTAGTTAATCCATTTTCCGTGCTGTCATTTAAGAAATGCAATTTCAAGCTGCTTTCTCCCACTTCTTATGGAGACAATATGAACTCTTGAGGGGGTAAGGAAAGCTTTGTTGGTGCAAAGTGTTGCTGTGTGGAAATGAATATACAGTTTTGAACTGATTTTGGGTATGTAGAGGCCTCTTAAGCCCATATTAAGGGAAATAATTGAGAATAAAGATAAGGCCTTTGTGGGAACACCCCGTGCATGTCCCTTTCAGAGCTGGTAATAAAAGAAAAGGGTCATTGCTTGAGCACAGAGGAATGAAGTACAAATGTGTCTGATCTAGAAAGTTTATGTAGTTAAATATAGAAGAAATTTCCAGACTAATTCTGCCTTTCATCATAGAATGGGAGATAAATTCTTTCTCCTTTTCAGGCGCCAGGGTAAGTAAGGTACAATAACAGTTCCTTACTTTGTCCTGATTTCCAAAACTCTATGGAGCAAAAATTAAAGAGGATAGAAGGGTGAGCATTGCCACCTTTTGCAAGAGTTCATCTTCCTGTTTTTGTGCATCATCTGTATTTGCTTTTGTCAGTGAAGACAAAGAACCAGCAGGAATTCTGCTCAGCAGAGAATGGCTGCATGCAGCTGAGTGAGACATCTGTGGAGAGCCTGCTAAAATCTGCATCCCTGACTCTGAAGGAGCTGCAGATACCACGAGAGAAACTCCTGCCAGGCACCTTCCAGCTGATAAAACACGGTGGCCGTGGGAGCATCTACAGAGCACAGCTGGAAACTGGGAGCTCTGGGAAGACTAGGACTGTGGTGCTGAAAGCCTTACAAGGTGAGGCACGTGGTCAGGATCCCCCGTGGGACAGATCTCTGATGCTGGGAAGAACTTTGCCATCAGTACTGGGCAAGAACAAGCTGTGTTCAGTATCATGTCAGCCAGTCAGAATGGTGTTTTTGTGGGAATGTCTTGGTAGGATTAAAGATTCCTGACCATCTTGATTTTAAGCTACTCACCCTGTTCTTTGCTGCTGCTGTTTGTTTTCGTTGTTGTTTGGGTTTTGTGTGGGGGTTTGGTTTGTTTGTTGTACTTTTCATTTGTTCTGTTTGTTTGGGTTTGTTCCTTCAGGCCTGGGCAGTCCCCAGGAAGTAAAAGATTTCCTGGGGAGGATTAAATTCCATCAAGATCTTGGCCATCATGAGAACCTGGTTGAGCTGGTTGGATGTTGTGTAGACAAACTCCCACTGTATATGATCATGGAAGATGTGTCTCTTGGTGACCTGCTGACGTTTCTGTGGATGTGTCGGAAGGTGAGTCAAAAGAAGTGATGACAGAACAGCTTCTTAAATTCCTTAGGTGCATATTTATCCCTAAGTCATAGTCCATAAGTCAGAGATGACTCTTTTCATCTCTCCATGCATCCCTCTCTATCAGTCCAAACTATTTCCATCCCCCAGAGAAATTCCACCCAGGTCTAAACTAGAATAGAATTTGAGGGTTCCTCTATTGAGATTCTGTAGTTTGGAGAAGCTGACACAGTTCTGTAAAGCCAAGTCCAGCTTTGCAGACCATTGGACCTCCTTGAAGGGTAGAGCAGGCACTGGAATTAGAGTGAGAATTGATACAGGTGCCTGAATTTGCGAAGTTTGAAATAATGTCCCACTCCAAATGCTTTTAAGGAAACAGCAGTTACAACACCAGGGAGAAGGTCATTAAATAATAACTAATTGGTTAAAAGGCAAGAAGTAGAATATAAGAGTGAAAGGTTGGTACTTTCACTGGAGGGAGCTCAACTGTCTAGGACCTGGTGCTGATTGTTGCATGTATTAATAACCTAGAAAATGGGATGACAGTGAGGTGATGATGGTTGCTGATGATTCCAGCCAGTAAAGGCTGACCCAGAGGAATTGCAGAAGGATATTCCCAGATTGAGAGACTGACCAATAAAAAGAACAAATGAAATTCAGCATGGCTAAAAATGAAATGATGCACAGGTGGAAAAGCAATCTTAGTTTCACATATGTAAATGATGGCTCCATATCTACCCATTGCTGATGAGGAATGAAAATCTGAAAGTATGAGATCTGATAGTATGAAAATATGCAGCCCATTGGAAATGTTAACTCAAGCTGAAAAAAAAAACAACCCAGATATCAGGGGAGGTTTAGATTGGATATCAGGAAAAGTTTTTCACACAGAGGGTGGTTGGGCACTGAACAGGCTCCCCAGGGCAGTGGGCACAGCACCAAGGCTGTCTAAGTTCAAGAGATGTTTGGACAATGCTCTCAGGCATTGCTGGGATGTCCTGTGCAGGGCCAGGATTGGACTTGGTGATCCTGAGGGATCCCTTCCAACTCAGCACATCCTGGGATTCTGCATTTCAGTCAATTTATGACCAACTGTGAAATTACATGTGGGAGCATAAGATTAGATAGTACTCGTTTTATGAGATGAGAAGGAAGCATTCCCCACTATCCTACTGCTATGTCACTTGTTGGAACCAAACAAATTTGTCTCTAGGATGTAATGGCAATGGATGGGATCCCCTATGACCTCACTGAGAGGCAAGTTTATGAAGTTGGACAGCAGGTTGCAGCAGCCCTGGTAAGTCTGCTCCCATTTACTGCATTTTTTTTCCTTCTTGCTTGATTGCAACACAAATCTTCACAGTGCCTAAGCCTTATTGGCCTAAGCACTGAGAATGTGTGCTTTGTTAAAGCAGAGCCCACTGTGCTTGCATGAGGTTGGTGAGTATGTCCCTCTTTTACTCCACAGCGTGGAAGACAAGCTTGAACTGAGTGAAAATTTATATCAACTAAATTTCCTTTTGAAATGATCATGGTTTTCTTTCTTTTCCAACTTCCCAGGCTTACCTTGAAGAGAAGAAGCTGTTCCATGGTGATATTGCTGCCAGGAATGTCCTCCTCCATCCCAACTTCTCTGCCAAGCTCTGTGGTTTGGGTCTGGCCTATGAAACCCACGCTCGTGGTGCCCCCTCGGTCACACGGGGTGTGCCAGTCAAGTGGCAGGCCCCAGAGAGGCTCCTGAGGAAGCCCCCCAGCATCAAGGCAGACGTGTAGGGATTAATTTTTGGACTAGAAGTCTGTCAGACCTGTCTCTTTCACTCCTTTATGTATCATTTTCATGTCCCAAAGGCGTATCCAGTCACAGCATAATGCTCCACATTGCTTTGTTTTCTTCCCTTGCAGGTGGTCTTTTGGAATTCTACTGTATGAAATGATTACATTAGGTAAGGAGATTTTGTGATAATTAAAAAAAAATTTTTTTAAGGAAGCAGCAAATTAACAAGAACCCAAAATCTCAGATTTCAGCATGTAAGGTTGGGCCACTTAAATAAGCACCCTGGTTTTTTTTCCAACTTGCAAAGTCTTGACAATTCCTTTCAGGCTTTCTGTCAATGTGAATTGTGACAGGGAAAAAAACCTGGATCTTAGTAGGGAAGGGATTTTCATTGTCTGGATTTTCATTTTCCATATCGAAGTTGTTGTTTCAGAACAACAACTGAAAAAGTCAGTTCAAAATCATGTAAGTCAAAATCCCAACAGACTTACCCAAGGCAGCACATTCCTCCAAAACATTTCACTTTCAACAAAGGAAGTTTCTCTACATGTTATTTATAAGAGGAAAATGTTTTCTTATCAGAGGAAAACAGGCTGTGAGAGGCCAGAACACATTGAGTTCATCCAGCCATCTTCCCCTTAATGGGATCAGCTATACTGTGTCACTTTACCTTCTGTTTTCTCTTAGAAGTCTTTCAGAACAGGTGAAATATTCTATTCTAGTACTTCATCCCCCTGACAAGAAATTTTTTCTATTGTATGAACTAGAATTTTTTTTTCTGGTGAAGTGTAACTTGTTGTTTATGTGTTTCACCCATCATGAACATGGAAGATTGTTGTTTTCCCATCCTCCTTGTGGAATATTCTCCCTATACTTGAAATCAAATATCTCTGTCTCTCATCTTGGCTTGTTAAGCTTAAATAGCTGCAGTTTCTTTCAGCCTTTCTTCTGAGGTCATGTTATCCAGATGACATGATCCTTCTGTTGCACAGGAGCTTGCACAGCAGCTGTTATCTGCAACCATTGCCACTGAGTTCTACTGTTACTCCTTTTGTCCTTCCAGGTGCTCCACCGTATCCTGAGGTGCCACCTCCTGACATCTTATCACACCTGCAGAGACAGAACATCATGAAGCAGCCCTCACTCTGCCAGCAAGCCATGTAAGCCCCTTGCTTTGTGGGTGATTGAACAGGAGATCTGCAGAGCTAAATGGAAGTGAGACATGGAAAACCAGATCTTACCCCAAATCTCTAAGTCTGGACTAAGCTGAGACTTGTTCTAATGTCTGCCACATCTCCTCACTGGGTTCTGCTGCATAAACCCTTGATGGCCAAAACCTTTCTTTTCTTCTTTTGAAAATGACACTTGTTTTTGTTTCCTTCTTTTGAAAATCCCACTTGTTTCTGCTTCCTTCTTGTGAAAATCATACTTGTTCTTTGCATTTTGTTGCTCCACTGCTGCCTTGCAAGGTGCAGGACTACTCTGGAGTAATCTTTCTCCTCTAAGTAGTGGGATATTCCCTGAAATGAGCACAGCATCCACAGGGAAGATCTAAGGCACATTTCCTTGTATGAAGACATAATTTCTTTTAATATTCAGAGTTTTTTCATCCATCATGCTGTTTCAAAAGTGGATGCCAGACGATATTCTTCCCATTTCCCACAATCCCAGTAGACATCCTGGCAAACAACTGCACACCCATGCATTATTATGTGGCTGCCTATGAAAATCTTAGTACAGATGTGACTCTCTATGGTGTGAGAAGCTGAATTTGGTGTATCACTGATACTGATGATTAAAGAACCCATTCAAACTAAGGATTTGGCAGGAGGAGAAGGGTCACTGAAAGAACTTCACATGGAGGAGGAAAAGGGGGAGTTCTCTGGACGTTTTAAATATGAGATGACTTGACTGTGGTAAAACTTGCTTCTCATTCCCAGTGTTTTCCCTGCTTCTCCATCTTACAGGTACAGCATCATGAAGTCCTGCTGGCAGTGGGATGCAGCTAACAGGCCTTCTCCAGCACAGCTCCTCTGGTCCCTGAAAACAGCTCTGAAGAGCAGCAATGGCCACACAGTTCTGCAGGTGCCTGAGCCAGTGGTGCCTGAACTCTATGCTGATGTTGCTGGTGTTGATGTGCACAGTGTAGTGAGGGAATACACCATCCTCTGAAGGGCCCTTCCACGTGCTGGTGAAGGAGAAGTCACTTGAGTTTTCCCTTCCTAAATATTTTGCAAGCTCAGCATGAGGTGTGTGTGTTGGAAGGGATCCCTTTGTTTTTCAGACGTGTTTATATATCTCAAATCTCTCCTCCAGGCCAGACACAACAAGCTATTAGCATTGTTATTAAATCAACGTGTTGATATCATTCTGCCAGTGGTCATTTGGGAGATAACTGTGTTTAGGGAGCTGTAGAAAATGTAATGAGAAGCTGGAGTTAAAGGAGTGTATTAGGTTTGTGTGGCAAGGATTTGGTTATGGGGTGGACTACAGGGGTGACTTCTGTGAGAAGAGATTCCACCTGCAGCCCTTGGAGGAGCCCACACTGGATGCCTGAGGGAGGCTGTGACCCCGTGGGAAGCCTGGGCTGGAGCAGAGACCTGGGAGGGAGCTGTGGGGAGAGGAGCCCACTCTGGAGAAGGACTGCACCCTGTGGAAAGGGACCCGTGCTGGAGCAGCTCGTGAAGAACTGCTGCCCGAGGGAAGGGCTCAGGCTGGAGAAGTTCCTGGAGGACCCCACACTGGAGCAGGGAAAGAGTATGAGGAGTCCTCCCCGTGAAGAGGAAGGAGCAGCAGAGACACCGTGTGATGGACTGACCACAACCCCCATTCCTGGTCCCCCTGCTGGACAGGAGGAGGCAGAGAAACCGGGAGTGAAGCTGAGCCTGGGAACGAGGGAGAGGTGAGGGAAGGTGCCTTAAGATTTGGTTTTATTTCTCATTATCCTACCCGAATTTGATTAGCAATAGATTAATTTCCCCCAAGTCGAGTCTACTTTGCCCATAGTGGTAATCGGTGAGTGATCTCTCCCTTAGCTTGACCTATGAACCTTTTTTGTTGGATTTTCCCTCCCCTGTCCAGTTGAGAGGAGGGAGTCAGGGAGTGGCTGGAGGGGCACCCGAAATTCAGCCAGACTCAACCCATTTGAGGTTTCTGGAAGTCTTTCCTTTCTGTCCCAGGAAATGCGTCAGTTGGGCATTCAGGGAAGTAGATGTGTTGGGGAATGTGCTGGGGAAGTGTTCAGTAAATGTCTGGGATCTCTCCAGTGCTTTATACTCCCATGGGAGAGTGGGTACTGTGTTAAAACAAACAAGCAAACCCCCAAACAAACAAAAAAACCCCAAACAAAACCAACAGCAACAACAAAACCGAGCAAAGCCCTTCATATCTGACAATATTTGATCATTGATTTTAATGGGCATGCAGACTTGGTAAAAAATTGGAGGTACTTGAAGTTGTGAGCATTTTGCCTTCATTCCAAAAGAAGCAGAATCAGCCTGTGAAACAAATTTCCTCTTCTCCCCTCTGCTGTTTGTGGTTTCTAAGTTGACAGTGCCTTAAGGTTTTCTTCTCTCATTGTTTTGGTGCTTTGAGCATTACAGGTTCTTGTGAAAAAAGAGTAAATGCACTTTAAAGGAATCATTTTAGCATTCCGTGTGGAGTGGATTCAGTGTTCACTCAGTATCCCTCCAATGGCTCTTGTTTGAAGTTGAAGGGCACAGAGACCTACAAAAGGCTGCTTGCAGTTGGTTATATTAATTGGTTTTCAGTATTTCATGTAGTTGAATCCCTGATAATTCCAGAACCAGTTGCAGACCTGCAGCATCCCATGAGACCAAAATTAGGTGTATGAGCCATGTAGGATTTAAGGTGTGAAAAAGCTAAATGATTTCTCTGCAAAATGGGAATGTTTATCCTGAAGGAAATCTTCAACCACCACTTTAGATATTAAACCTATATAGCTGTAAAAAGAAACCTGGTTTCCATCAAAATTTATTGGTCTTCTAAAAACAATGTTAAGAAGTTTTCTGTTTTGAATGCAAAGTAACATGAATGACATGGTTGTTTTTTCTGTATCACTTAGGCTTTGTAAGAAACTGTGTTTCCATCCAGAAATAAATGTCATGTGAGTTCCTACAGCATCTATATGACCACTAAACACTGGGACATTGCAAAGTCCACGTATATCACCACTGTACATTGCAAAGTCCACCAAAGAGGGCTCAGTTACCTTTCTGACTTCTCTTATGGTGTTGCCACCTTGATGTCCATAAACCACTGGTGGTGTAAATCAGATATAAAGAATGGAAACATCTTCTTTTCCAAATGCTAAAATTAAACATCTTCTTCTCTCCCCTCACTTGAAAACAGATTCAAAGCTGCCTGGTAAATTTAGGTCAAATTCACAGTTACCTGTCATTTAGGTGAATAAACTATTCATTAAAAAAAAGCATTTAATTGGTTCAGACCCCAAGAATGGGATATTCTCAAAGGTCTCTGCTGTGAAAGGTGTTTCAGACAGGTAACATGATGCCAGAACTGCTGCTGCAGAGCTGGTGAATAAACCCTGTCAAACAGAGAGCTAAAGGTAACAAACACAGCCCTGTTCTCAGAGCACAGAAAGCAAAGTCCTGCTTTACACAAATGCTCATATTTTGTTTCTCTTGTCAAAGCTCTGATCAAGGGAATCCATGGGAATTCAGGATGCTGAGCACCTCACAGCCTCCAACAAAAGATCTGCTTTGGTTTCCCCTGAAAGCAAATCTGTGCCAAGAGCCTGCTCATGAATTTGTCCACAGAAAGACATTTTCCTGCTCTATGAAAAGGTCTAATTTAATTTCCCTTCAATAAAGTGGCCTCATTCTCAGTCTCATTCTTATTCTGAGCTGACTGTCTTTTCCCAAGGTTGGTTTGGAAGTGAGTGAATCTAAACCAGATTAAGTTTTACAGTGGCATGAAAGGAATTATACATGTGGAGTTGCCCTAGTTTAACCACACTTCATGCTAATTAAAGTAGTCTATATAGAAGTTTTTTTCCACAGAGCAGTCTCCATTCGTGCAGCTACATTTTTAGCATCAGTGTAGACTCATGAATTCCTCCTTAGTGAATCCACTGAGGGCCTGGTGACATTTTTTTCACAGATGTTGTGTGGAGAATCATGGCTTTTCAATGCCAGCCCTTGTTTTATTTGTTTAATTGGAATATTTTGTTCCCATGAAAAATGCAAACTTTTAATTATTATATTGAAATTATATATCTATTATATTAGGAGCAGTTAACACCACAGCATATAAATGACATGCATTTGAGTATTTATTAGACCAGTATTTAATGTACCTGCTTGTAAAGGCTTGGAGACTGGAAAACAGTGGATTGTTTCACTGTTTTTCTCGAATGTGGTGTGCCTTTCATTACAGATCAAGGTTTATCTCTGCCACCTTTCTTCAGCCATCTGATCATCAGTGACAGGCTGATGAGCACCAGTAGATCTCCTGAAGGTGAGGAAAGTCCTGTCCAGAACAGGCAGAGAGGGGAAAAAAGGTTATGGTCCAAAAAGTGACAACAGACAGGATGCACAGATATTGAATATTCATGGTGTGATTTGGCTTCACCATGTTGGAATTTCCTGAAACCACAAATGAACTTTTTAAGAGTCCTTTTGATCTCTAAAATCTTTTTTCCTGCTTCAAGTAGCAAAGGATTCCCACTTAAACACCCAGAAGAGAGGTACTGCAGTACTCCCTCTTCTGCACTCACAGAATGGCTTTTTGGTGAGGGCTGTGATTTAGGCATGAGGATGTGAGAGTGTGTTTGCTTATGCTACCTCCTACAGCTTGTGGTTTTATTTATTGCAGGTGTTGCACCACCAAGCAATATCAATAATTCACAAACATCCCCCCCAACTCTCCAAGGCACAAAAAATGCTATTTTTTTCACATTAATTGGGCTCATATTTATAGAATTCCTTAACAGGTCTTTCTATGCTAAAAGGAGGAGGTGGCCTGAGGTTTTCCTCTTGCCTTGTTTTTAAACAGCCCCCACTGTTACCCACTTCTGCAAGAGGCATTTTAATTCATAGAATCATAGTCACAGAATGCCCTGAGTTGGAATTGACCCACAAAAATCGAGTCCAACTCCTGGACCTGCCCAAGACAACCCCAGGAGTCACACCCTGTCCCTCAGAGCATTGTCCAAACCCTCCTGGAGCTCTGGCAGCCTTGGGGCTGTGCCCACTGCCCTGGGGAGCCTGGGCAGTGCCCAACCAGCCTCTGGGGGAAGAACCTTTTCCTAATATTCAACCTAAACCTGCCTGACACAGCTCCAGCCATTCCTGGAGCCCTGTGGAGCCCCACTAGTGACTGGTCTCTACTTCTGTAGCTTTGTGTTTCACTTTAGAGCTGTTGCTCTCCCGTTCCCACGTCCACAGCTCCACACAAACATGTTTTAGCCATCAGAAGTTAGAAGCTCGTTCCCCTTGCAAGCTCATTTCCAGCTTCCCACCAGTGCTTTAGACCCGGTTTTGCTTTCCCCTGCTGCCACCACTGCATATTTTGCCCTTGGCTAGAGCAGCCCCTGTTGCCAGAGCTGCTCCCAGGTGGCCTCCTGACCTTCTGGATCAGTCCTGCCTGAGTGCAGCAGCCTCTCACCTCAGCAGGGGGAGTTTCTCACACATCAGACCAAATGGGTGTCAAAAAACCCCCCTTCTTCCAGGGTTGGGGCTGTCTTTGCTTCACACGGGTTCATAAAGGATGCTAGTAGGGTTTCTGATATAAAACAACGTGTGACAAAACCCCACAGCCTGCAGTGTTTGCCCTCATTTCCCTGCAGTTCACGTTGTGTGGCAGCACTGCCCGGTCTCACCACGGCTGCCCTCCCGTGATGCAGGAACAGGACTTGGCCATGGAATCTGATTTTGTAGAGAGGCAGCTGTGAATCTGAACACAAATTAAAACAACTCCAGGTGGAGTTTCACACATTTCGGGTGACAGGAGCAGCTGCACTGTCCTCTAATGTGCTTTGAGCTCTCAGGTGGAATCTGCTGCATTTGGGCTGCTGTAAGAACTGAGATATTCCTGTTTCTCTTTCTGGGTTATCCCACATGTATCTTGGTTTGGTGAAGCCTTTTCTAACCAATCCTTTGGGCCATTGATAAGTTTCTACCAGTGTAAAAAGACCAGTGTAATTTAAGGCATAAAATACCAGTGTAAACCTGATGTTTAAGGTCCAAATCACATCAAAAGACTCCGTGTCCTACCTTTAAATAAGGAGACATACAAAAGTGGCCAAGGGTCGTACAAAATTCTTAATTTGCTCAGATATTTTACATGATCAGTAGAGGAAAAAATGTACATATCAGTAAAAAAAAAAAAAAAATCAAAACTGTGGAGGGATTTGTCACATTTTAGTAACAGGAATTTTGCTGTCCCAGAGTGGGAATCTCGGCTCACGTGGGGAGCTGGGGGCTGTCACATCCCCTTTCCCCATCATAAGGCAAAACTGACCCTGAAAAACACACTGAGATCCACAAAAATTATGTAAATGA